TTTATTTTTATGTGGTCCTGAGCATGGAACCCAGTTCCTCACATGTACTAGACAAGTCCTCTACCACTGAGCCACAACCCCAGTCCCTTTTTGTTTTTTATTTTGAGTCAGGGTCTCATCAAGTTTCTGAGGCTGATCTTGAACTTGGATTCTTCTGCTTCAGCCTCCTGAGTCACTGGGATTACAGGTGTGCATCACTGTGCCTGATTCCTTACCCCACCCACCCTGTACCAGGGATTAAACCCAGGGGTGCTTAACCACTGAGACACATCCCCAGCCCTTTTTTATTTTATATTTTATTTAGAGACAAGGTCTTGCTAAGTTGCTTAGAGCCTTGCTAAATTGCTGAGGCTGGCCTTGAACTTGTGATCCTCCTGCCTCAGCCTTCAGAGCTGCTAGGATTACAGGCCTGCACCACCACATCAGGCTCCTCTTTTTTTTAACATATCATTAAGTTTTCAAATATTGTGTCCCTAACCCCATTTCCCCACTAATCTTGTGGGTTTTACTGAACAATGACTTTTAGCTTCATTGCAGCATAAATTATTATATTGCTGTTTGAGGAAAAAATTAATCAATGATCAAACTCTATTTTTCAAAGATACTATATATAGGCAAGTCCACTTATGCTTCAAGTCTTTCCCTATAAGCTCTCTCCTGAACAGCTACTTTCTTCCAGAGGTTTACTCATTGACTAGATAGCTCCCAAATCCAATAGCAGATTTGGAGTAAGAAAGATATCATTCACCCTCACACACTCACAAAAGTTTAAATTTCTCAATAACTAGAGCAATGACACTGAACATTATCTTCTAAATTCTGATTTGGAGGGGATTGGAGATGTAGATCAAGAGTAGTGTGCTTGTCTGACATATATGAAGCCCTAGGGTTAACCTCAGCACAACTAAAAAAATCTAAAATAAAATAAATTTGGACCTTGATTCTAACAGAAAATCTTGACATGAACTATTGTAAATGTCCACTGTTCAATAATGGAATGTTCAACAGCTATTCGATTTCTACCATGGAAAGTACATATGCAGGAAAAAAATTAGTTCTGCAACACAGTTTTAACAGAACGATAGAAACCACAGAACCTTTACAAATACTCCTAAATCTTGACAAACTCAGAGGTTAAGGAGTATAGTGAAATGAAGGAGGTCATACATTTTTCCTCATTTCTATGCAGAACAGAAACAGGACAGATTGAACTATGAGCTGGCAAAAACCTGTTACTCGGAGCGAAAGGGCAGGTAAAAATAATGCCACTAGTGAGGATACTCAGATTTGATGGAGAACCGAATTTCCATACCTTCTTGAATGAACCTGGACTTACAACTAGGGCTGATACAAAAGTAACAAACATGAGTGTAACACAGCAAAGATTTAGACATGACAGCCATAATTCTGGTACTATTTCTTAAAGAATTAAACACATTAAAATTTAAAAATTATTTAGATTTCTGTTTATATACAAATGTACATATCTGCAAAAAAGAAAAAACAAAACACATTAAAATGGCAACAGTGGTTAACACTTAGGTAGTCAGATGACAGATTATTTTTTTCTTGTCCATAGTTTTCATTATTTCATACAATGAATGCTTACCACTTTTATTATCACAGGAAAACAATTTTTTAAAACAGCTAAAACACGTGATCCTCGATCACAGTTCATATGTAAAATTAGTAGTAAATCACCAAATGTCCCTGCTACTTCACAAAGGGCCAAAGGTGAGTGGGCACTTTCCCTGGCATGCAGAACACAGGGAACTCTGAAGGATAACTCTTAGCCACAAAAGTAAGGACAAACACAAGAATGGAGATTTTATGCCTAGCAGAAAAGGACTTGCTTGTCCCTTCTATTATCAGCTGGCGTTATGGTGACTCCTACTGGCATTCTGAAAAATCCCCACCTTTGGGGTAAAGCTAATACATAGTCACTTAACTAAATTTCATAATGTCTGATTGCAGAAAATATGGGAAGATGATCTAACCAGATCTAATCAGTCTCCAAAGCCTAAGATATATTGTAAAAGGTCACTGTAGATTTTCTAATCAGCTTTCTCTCAACCTCCTTAGCACAATGATGATGAATATTCATTCTCCACTGAGAAAGCACATATAGTAAGTATTTCCCTTATCCAAGGTTGCTTTTCTCATGGTTTCAAGTCACCCTTAGTCAACCATAGTCTGGAAATGTTAAATAGAAAATTCAAAAACTAAACAATTTATAGGTTTATAATTGTACACCATTCTGAGTAGCATGGTGAAATCACACTGTCCCAGCATATCTATGCTGTTTGTACTACCTGTCACGTAGTAGCCATCTCAGTTATCAGATCAACTATAATAATACAGTAGTTCTATTGTTCAAATAACTCTTATTTTACTTAATAATGGTCCCAAGCACAAAAGTAGTGATGCTGGCAATTTGGGTATGCCCAAAATAAGCCATAAAGTACTCTCTTTAAGTGAAGAGGTAAAATTTTTCAAATTATTAAGAAAAAAAATATGATGAGGTTGCTAAGATTTATGGTACAATATGACATTTTGAGAAAGAGACCACATTCACATAATTTTATTACAGTATATTATTAGAATTGTTCTATTTTGTGATTGTTTATTGTTAATCTCTTACTGTGACAAATTCATAAATTAGACTTTACCATAGGTATGCTTGCACAGGAAAAAAAAAAAAAACGTAGTAGGCATAGCGTTTGGTACCATCCATGGTTTTGGGAATCTCCTGAAAACCTTGCAGGTAAGAGAAGACTACTCTAAAGGTTAACCATTAGGCACTTAGCTGGTGAGAATACAAAAGAAATAAGATGTAGTCATTCCCTTCATAGCATTCACAAATCTGATGAGGAATGGTATGACATACATATTAGAAATATTTAGATAATAAGAGAATGAAATTAAAAGGCTAAATGAACAGATAAATACTTAAGATCCTTAAAGGAAGAACTACTCAATACAGACTTAAATAGTAGGCTTCTTGGGTAGCTAACATAAGCAGGCAGGGTCACTAACATAAGCAAAAACATTGAGGCAGAAAAGACAATGAATGATGAGCCTGCATGGACTGGAATAAAAACCAGATTGGGAAAAATTTACAGTAGGGAAGGAGAGATTTGAGCAGAGTATATTTCCTCTTAAGGATATCAGATTAAGAACATTCATGGGGAAAATCTATGCTAAATATGATAGAGATGCAATATCAAATCTCATAATAATTCCAAAGTAGGTATCATTATTCCCATTTTATAGACAGAAACAAAGTAGTGAAACAGAGAAATTACCTAATTTGCCCAAGGTCATTAAGGTAAAAAAAATAATACTGGGATTTAAACCTAGGCTATTTGAATCCAAAGTCCATGTTCTTTCCTTACCTCCCCATGTTACCTTTTCCTAAAGAAGTCTCTAATAACATCACTCTAAACTCAAATTGTCTCCCCCTCATGGTGCATGCTTCCTTCTTTTTGATTTTCCAGTGTCTCTATGGTGATCCCCCGTACATAAATAAAAACCTGCTTTCAGGAGAATGATTGCAGCTAAAATAAAAATGACCTGTAATAGTTTACCTTGACAAAGGGTATTTTCTTTTCTTATTTTTCCTTTTTACTTGTTTTATTATTTTAAAAATTTTTTTTGCAGTACTGAGGACTGAATCCATGTCCTTACACATGCTAAGCAAGTGCTCTGCCACTAAATTATATCCCTAGCTCTTCATATTTTTGAGACAAAAATCACATTAAATTACCCACACTGGCCCCTGAACTCATGATTCTCCTGCCTCAACCTCCCCAGTAGCTGAGATCACAGGTATGTGCCATCATATCTGACAAAGGATATTTTCATTTTAACAAGAATAAGGGTCTTCCTTTAAAAGAATGGTAGGAATGCATATCTTACCTTCTCAGGGAACCAGACCAAGGATATGTTTAATAATGCACATTTACACAAACTATAGCTAAGGTCCACACAGTAAAACTCACTATTAACAAACCCTAAGGGTCTCCATGAAAGTATAATCAGCCCCAATCTGGAGAAGAAGGCCATATGTGGCTACCAGTTTGCTTCAGAAGAGAAGTAAAAGTCTCATTATTTTACATTTTAAGAACATGATATTTTAAAAAACCTAAATTAAATATATTTGACATTTAAACTATTAAGTATTTCTTTAACAGATTGCTAAAAAAAAAAAAAGAAGTGCTCTCCAATAAGTTTATAAAATGAACTTTCATTGCCTCTGTGAACCAAGAGGAGCACAATCTTTACTACTCTCACCTTTTTTGCTATCAAAGATCTTATATGTATCAAATGTCAAAAGTGTCATCTTTCTTTTTAAAAAAAAAAAATTTAATTGTAGTTGGACACAATACTTTTATTTCACTTATTTATTTTTATGTGGTGCTGAGGATTGAACCCAGGGTCTCACACGTGGGAGGTGAGCACTCTACCACTGAGCTACAATCCCAGCCCAAAAAGTGTCATCTTTCAAAGGAACTGAAATAAAATTCATCTGGGATCTCAGAGTGTGTAAAGTCAAGTAGGTAGAAGATCATGGCACTGACAGAGATTGCGCCATGGCACTTACTATGGAAATAGTCTTCCTGATTATTCATGTACTAAAACCAGAATATAGTCATAGCTAGGTCAAGGGTAGCCTGATAACTTGAAAGTTCCCCACCAAGTATTTTAATAGGCCAAGGAATCATATGAGTTCCAAAATGTGTTTTAGAATGAAACATAAGAAAATTTCTAGCCCACTGGAAAGCTTAGAAGTTATACTGAATTCTATATTTTACATAGAATATAAAAAGTAATTTGAAGATAAAAGTGATACTGTTTGGTCTTTCTCAACAAAGGTTGTTATACCCCTCATTCTACAGAAATCACTTTCTAAGAAACTCTCCTTTTATCAATATTCTAACATACATGCTAAGAGATTTTAGGGATAGAATTATTTTCAAAGAAGAGAACATAGTTCTTACATATCTGGATGGCTCTTCTAGGTTCTGATCATTCATGTCGGTAGGAACAACCCGGGTAGCCAGTGGTCCCTCTGCAAAAGGTTTTGGTAACTGACCTCTGAACTCTGATGGAATGAACTGAAGCTGCCAACTGTCAGAAACACAAATAAGAAGAATAAGAAAAACACAAGGGGATCATATTGCTAAATGTACTTGAAACAAACAAAAATCATGTGAAGACATTTCATTTGAAGAAAAAAATATTTCTGCTAAAACCTTAACCAGGGAGCATAAAGGCAGAGGTCACAATTTAATCCAAAAATCATTGAGAAATTTGTGACTAGAGGTCTCTCAATCCTTTTCACCAAGTTTCAGAAGTGAAATTTGCTACCAGATGGTTATATCATGAAACAACCAGAGAAATGTCAAAGTTTATTGCCAATTACCATGTGATCAAAGGGACTTATTAAAATTGAGGCAAACTCATCAGATATAATGAAAAAGATGAAATGTGATATTGGCACTAAGAACATGCTAAGGGAGCAGAACTTTGTTACTGAATAATCCTTAAAAGTATCTTCAGTTATGAAACAATTTCAATTGTAAACAGCAAAGGCCAAAGTCAACCCCTTAAAAAATAAGTTTCAATTTGTTACAGGATTTTTATTAAGCATAATACTACTACCAGGTAAAGCTAAGCTGCTGAAGCCAGTCTTAAATGGAACAATATGACTCATCTTAACCAGACTTCCCTTTTACTTAAATAGGACCAAAATAAAAAAAAAGAATTAAGGAACTCCAGGGCATATGCTATCAAATCAACAGAGTAAAGGAAACTGGTACAGATGTCTTAATAATAGCTTTCCCCAGTGTTCATACATTGGTGAAAAACTTATTGTTTGAAAAAAAAAATTCTTCTCTAAAAATACTTTTCTAGCTAGAGTTTCTAAAGACCCTTTAGGAAATGGATTAATATCAAATAATTACAGAATTATAAACAGGAATTTTCAGAATGAGTTGTCAGCAGAAGCCTAGAGCCCAGAACATTTTCAAAAGTCCTCTGACATTGTAGATACAAGTAGGGGAGGGTGCACACCCACACATGGCACCTAGTCTAATGAATACAAGAGATAGGTGTGTGGTGCAGATTCCACAGCAATCAGAGACAGAAATGATTCAATAACTTTCTGTAAAAACTCCAAAGCAAAACAAAAATTAAAAAGCCCCTGCCATATGGGCTGGGGATACAGCTCATTGGTAAAGTGCTTGCCCCACATGCACAAGGCTCTGGGTTCATTTCCCAGCACCACCAAAAAAAAAAAAAAAAAAAAAAAAAAAGTCCCTGCCATAAGATTGCTAATTTTATTCCTTGATTTAAAACTCTGGGAATTAAAGGGTAACTTACTTTTCTGGCAGAAGGAAGCTGCTGGGAAATCGATACCACTCTTTTCCCACACAGACATTCACAGGTCTACCTTCTGGGACAGTGTGGATAGTTGGGTCTGTAGCAATTCTATAAAATTCTGGATACAAATCAAGGGGCCCATGGTATCCTGGAAGGAAGGAATAGTCAATAAAAACCAAAGATGAGTAAGATGAATTTCTGACATGTAGTTATAATACATGTTAATGTTCCACTATAATCCACATAAAATTTAAGAAGTGTGAAGGGCCAAGCCTGCCCTACACATAAAAAAATGTCTCTTTTTTAGGAAGATAGCTATAGCAGAGACCCTATTTTGCCAAATATAAGGGCTTTCTTGCCCTTTAAACATCTTGTTTTTTTCAGCATACTTTCATATTTTAGATCCCAATAATGATTGTAAGAAAATATAATCATGAGAATTTAGCACAAAGTTTAGGCTTCCTTAATTCATCAATAACCATTAAAAGGGGGGGAAATCAATAAAAACAGAGAAAAAATGTGTAGTTAATCGTACCAAGAGGAATTCTCAATCTCTTTTTCAATCATGAGGTAAAGAAGTCACATCATACTCATTAATTCTATATGCTCCCCCTTCAAGAAAGACCTTTTTTTGCTGGGCACAGTGGCACACACCTAAAATTCCAGCGGCTCAGGAGGATGAGGCAGGAGGATTGTGAGTTCTAAGCCAGCCTCAGCAATAGTGAGGCACTAAGCAACTCAGTGAGACCCTGTATCTAAATAAAATACAAAATAAGGCTGGGGATGTGGCTCAGTGGGTGAGTGCCCCTGAGTTCAATCCCTGTGCCACCCCCTTCCTTCAAAAAAAAGAAGACCTCTTCCTAGCATAAGCTGAATATGTATTAAACAAGCCTGCATGAAGGGAAACCTGAGGTGAAGAGCCTTGTGAGGGTGAGTTAAGATACCCGTATAGCACATCTACCTCTGAATAGTGCCACAGAGCGGGAAAATGATAAAAGCCCAAAGAGGAAGACGGTTCCTAAGGCCAGCCAATTTGATGTCACAGTATAGTGCTCCAGGCGATATCGTTGAAACACGAAGTGGTAACATTTCTAGAAGGAAAGAAAATTGTATTGATAAAAGAAGATACACCTTGCAGAATACACATAATCATGAAACATCACAGAAAAGCCAAGAATGCAGAGATTGAGTCTGAGCAGGAACACTTAGAAAGGAATCCTTTCCAAATACAAAGATTAAAGCCAAGTCCTCTAATACTATCTGGGGGTCAGCCTATCTGGCTTGCCAATACTCTTACTAGCTTTCAAGAAAATTATTTAGATATTTTGCTTGTACTTAAAGTCCTAATAACTTATTTCAAATTATTTTTAAATGCTTTTTTGGTAGTTTTCTTTGACATATGAAGTATTTAAATCTGTTTTGATATAAGAATTTATCTTTACTTCCTTACCCTCAAGTTTTCATTGAAGATTTTAATATGAACAAAATGTCTCATGACCAAACAAGAAAAAAGAATTCCTCTCATAGAACACTAGGAACATGTTGTTAATTATTGCTTAACAACTTAATAAACTAGATGGTTATATAACATATATACATGCATGTATGAATTCTGCTCTTTTTGTGTATATGTGATTCTGGGGATCAAATCCAGGGCCTCCCACATGCTAAGCATGTACTTTATCTCTGAGCTATATCCCCAGCCCATCTGCTATCTTTAAGTACCTTCTCCTCAGATTTCTTTTTTTCCTTCCTTCCTTCCTAGATAGAACCTATTTCTGGAAAAAAGTTTAGCAACATATAACAAATGCCGTAAATATGTAGAGTGCTTTTAATATTTTAGAGAAGAGCTGGGAATGTGGCTTAGTGGTAAAGCAACTTGCCTAGCATGTGTCAGTTCCTGGGTTTATGTCCCAGCACCACTAAAAAAACAAATGGGGCAGAAGTTGGGAATCTATCTTAAGGAAATAATCTAAATACCTGAATGAAAATATTTAAATAACTAAATGAAAATATTTATTCTACTAGTAGTTATAATGCTAAATAAATGAGTAACCTAAATTCTAACATGAATTATATCATTGTTCTACATATTAACAACTCAATATGTTATATATGTTATATCCAATTATTATATACTATACCCAAATCAATAGAACATTATACTGCTATTTAAATGATGGATATAGAAATGGCAACACAGACAACATTATGACATAATACCAAGTTAAAAAGGATATAACGTTATATGCACACTTATTATTACAATCATAATAAGCCAATGCTAGAAAGTGTTTTTGTTAAAAGGTGAAGAATTTTCACGACTTTCTAAATTATCTGAAATGAAATTCAGTTACTTTTATAATTGAAATTATTTTTAAACTATCATTCTACAATGGATAAACCTTGAAAACATGCTAATCGAAAGAAATGAGTCACATATTTTATGGTCCATTTACATGAAATGCCCAAAATAGGCAAATCTACATAGAAAATAGATTGCTAATTACTTAGGGATGAGGAGCTATGGAAAAGAAGGTAGAAGTAATGATAGTCAAAGGGTACAAAGCTTTTGAAATGATGACAATGTTCTAAAATTGACTGTGGTGATGATTGCATATATCTGTAAATATGTTAAAAACCACTGAAATCATACACTTTAAATAGGTGAACTCATGGTTTGTGGATTTTATATCTCAATAAATCTGTTAACAATAAAACATCATCTGCCAGCGTGGTAGCATATGCCTATAATCTCAGAAGCTCTGGTAGCTGAGACAGGAGAATTTCAGGTTCAAAAGCCAGAGTCAACAACAGTGAGGCGCTAAGCAACTCTAAATAATACACAAAATAGGGCAGGGGATGTGGCTCAGTGGTTGAGTGTCCCTGAGTTCAATCCCCAATACCCCCCCCAAAAAACAACAACAACAAAAATCTATCATCTATTTTTTTTTTTCTGCCAAGTGAAAATGACAGCAGAGGGCAAGAAAGTATCCAGAGGTTGCTGAGGCCATAAATACAGAGATATTCAAAGTTAAGATTAGCTCTGACAGGGAATTGACCTGGACAGGTTTTAAACCAGGATTACATAACTGCCTGATGTAATCCCAAAGTCTTGAGCAAGTTTTAGTCTGATCCAGCAGAGCAGACATTTGTTAGCTCTGCCACTATCATGTGACTTAAAAATGTACCTTTATGGGATACAGTTGTGGCTCAGTCATGGAGCACTTGCCTAGCACATGTGAGGCCCTGGGTTCAATCCTCAGCATCACATAAAAAATAAATGAATAAAAAAATAAAGCTATAAAAAAATTACCTCATAAAAAAATGCACCTTTATTAGCAATTGGATTCCTGTTGACAATAGAGACAAATTACAACAAAAATTAATAATGCAAATATTTAATTAGCAAATAAGAATATGATAAATAGCTTTATCAATACATAATTTTTTAATAATATGATCTGTATTAGGTTTAACATTATGGGTAAAATATCTTAGATGGATGTACTCTATAATTTGCTCTTAAGTTTTATGAGCAATGATTTAATAAGTGAAACAGAATGAGGCACAAATGTTTTCCCTGAAACTTACCTGAAGTGCAGAAAGAGCTACAGCACCACAGAGACATATAAGTGGATATACAGGGAAAAGGAATCTCTCCTCTTTGTGAGGCTGGATGAAGAAAATCATAAACCAAATATACATTGGAGCCAAGGTAAGCCAGTATGGGTGGCCTAAATTCTGAACTGCAAGACACAGAAAAATATTCACCTTTCATCATATTAGAATAAATTAACATCTTTAGTCTCAATGCTCTCTCTCTCTCTTTTTTTTTTTTTAATATTTATTTATTTATTTTAGTTTTCGGCAGACACAACATCTTTGTTTGTATGTGATGCTGAGGATCGAACCCGGGCCGCACGCATGCCAGGCGAGCACGCTACCGCTTGAGCCACATCCCCAGCCCCTCAATGCTCTCTTGATCTTAAAATTTGGAAGTATGTCCAAAGGCACATCATAAAAATGTTGCAGCTAATATATTCACATTTTCTCCAAACACATCAATAAAAAGAAGAACACACTCCTTAACTTTACCAAGAAAATCTAAAATTTAAAGAGAGATACAATACTGGGTGTGGCTAGAGCAAAATGAAAATCAGGTTAATGGTTAATAGAACTTAATAAATTCTACACTGGGTGAAGAAAGAAAGCCTTTTCCCTCTAACGAGTCCCACCATTAAGACTAAAGACTAATCATTCCTAAGATTAACCAAAAGCCTAGTGTAAACCCACTTCTTGAGTTTTACTTCCTATGTTTAAACATTAGTTATTTTTATCTGTACACCAATTGTCTAATTGTTCAAGCAGACCTAAATCAAAAGAAAGCAAAACAGTTGGATTCTCAAACCCTTTCATCAAGCCACAAATGACAGCTGTTTTAAGGTAAACGTGAAAATACTCTTAAAGAAAGTTCACTGATTTTCACTCCTCTTCTATAATATCCAACCACTCTGAATCTCAAAATTAGAAAAAAAATGTACTTAAAGCATGTAAATGAATTAAAGGAATGTAATGAACACTAAGATCCAGGCACCTGCTGGAAAGTTCCTGTGGTTAGGTACATGAGCACTGAATAATAAAACTGCAACTCACAGTGAAGGCATCTCCTACTGTGTTTATATTAGAGATAATGAACAGTGCATAAAAATGCTGGCAAAGGATAGGTAGACAGCGCCCCCTGGTGTCCACTATGTCTATAATGATCAAGTTTATAGTGAGCAAATTTAGTCCAGGACAATTATCAGAATGCCTAATTTAGCTATCTAGGTTATGTCGCTCTGCAGAATTCCCTAGGGAAAAAAATTTTTTTGAACTTCATTAGCAAGCTTATTTTATAAATCTTTCACTCTAAGATTTTATCACAAGATTTAAGGTTATACTTTCAGATTTATACCTTTTTCAGGTAAGTATATTTTATTTTTTTTATTGTAAGAAAATAAACTTTACTATAAAGTCTTTTTCTCTTTTGTACTTTAAAATCAAACATAATTTTTAAAAAATATAATCAAAAATTTGAAATGTCCTATATAAAATATATATAATCACTAACCACAGTGGTATATAGTAGAATCATGGGTAATTTCTTTCCTGGCTCTTTATATTTTTAATTTTTTTTCCCAGCACAGTGGCATGCACTTGTAATCCCAGTGACTCTGGAGGTTGAGGCAGGAGGACTGCAAGTTGAAGGCCAGCCTCAGCAAACTAGGAAGGCCCTACGCAACTTAGTGAAATATTGTCTCAAAATAAAAAATAGGGCTGAAGCTGCAGCTCAGTGGTGGAGCACTTTTTTGGCAAGTGGACGTGTGAGGCCCCGCGTTCAATCCTCAGCACTGCATAAAAATAAATAAATAAAATAAAGGTATTATGAAAAAAATTCCTTAAAAATAAATAAATAAAATAAAAAGGGCTGAGAATGGGGCTGTGGCTGTGGCTCAGTGGTTGAGCGTTCACTTGGCATGCATGAGACACTGGGTTCAACCCTCAGCACCACATAAAACAAAGGCAGTATCTACCTACAACTAAAAATTTTTTTTTAAATTAAAAAATTTTAAAAAGGCTAGGGATGTGGCTCAGTGGTAAAATACCCCTGGGTTCAAAACCCAGTACCAAAAAACAAAGTATCATTTCTATTGTAAAATACACATACAAGTATAAATACAAGTCAGAAAGCACTCATATTTTTGTTTTGTTTTTTAAATTTTTTTTAGTACTAGATGGATACAATATTTAAAAAATTTTTTTATATGGTGCTGAAAATCAAACCCAGTTCCTCACACATTCTAGGCAAGTACTCTACCACTGGGCCGAACCCCAGCCCCAGCACTCATATTTTTATAAGGTGGCCACATGTACATTATAAACATTTTAAAATCAAAATTTGATTCATACTGTAGAGAACATCCTGTTTTTTAATTCACATCACAAATGTTTTCAGTTTTTCCACAAGCATAAATTATTTTTATAGTTCAAAACAAAGTTACTTTAAAAAAGGAAAAAGTGATATTTAGTAAATACAAGGGATGGAGATAGAGGAACAAGTTACCTCAAGGGAGCAGACATCTGAATCTAAAATGTGGGATACTTATACAACCCGAAAGATCTGTTTCTTTAAGAAACCTTTAGGGGGCTGGGATTGTGGCTCAGTGGTAGAGCGCTCGCCTAGCACATGTGAGGCCCTGGGTTCGATCCTCAGCACCACATAAAAATAAATAAATAAAACAAAAGTATTGTGTCCAACTACAACTAAAACATAAATATTTAAAAAAAAAAAAAAGAAAAGAAAGAAATCTTTGGGAGAGTCAGACACTATAATCCCAGTGACTAAGGAGACTGAGATATGAAGATTGTAAGTTCAAGGCCAACCTCAGCAACTTAGCAATGCTCTACACAACTTCACAAGACCCTGTCTCAAAAAGGGATGGGGATGTAGCTCAGTGGTAAAGTGCCCCTGGGTTCAATTCCCAGTACCAAAAAAGAAAGAAATTTTTTAGGAGAAAAAGATGAGACATTTCAGGAAAAGCTTAAAGAAACAAAAAATTCAGTACGTAACTTTTGTTTACATTCTGCTTTAAACAAACTAACAGTAAAAACCTATTTTTCAGACAATCTAGGAAATCTGAATATCATTTGGGTATTAGATGATATTAAGGGATTATGTTAATTTTTTAGAATAATGGCAATGTGGTTATATTAAAACAACATGACTCTGAAGCCCGCTTGCACCTTCTAATCTTTTAACACAGTGAACTCTCTATAAACAATTAACAATAGAAAAGCAGAATTGGGGTGAGATGAAGAGGAATCAATCATGTGACATCCAAATAAGATTGAAAAGTCTGAAAGTAAATCTTTCTAAACTCATATGAATTTATGCTCTAATCTGTTTCCCATAAATGAATCTAGGCTCCAGATATCCAGAGCCATGACAACTTGAGAAAACATCAGCTGTGCAATACAGAATCAGAGCAAGTAAAATAAATGACACACCAAACTTTCACAGAAAGGCAAACATAGAAGCAAAATGGAACCAAGAGAAGCATCATGCTTCTTAGGAAGTCCAAAGATTCTCTTACTTCAGTATCAAATTCAGGGAATCCCTGAATGGTTCAGTTTTCAAATTTTTGGTTGAAATAATTTCCCAAAGAAAGTCTGCCTCTAGAATGGATTATATAGTAAGCAATCTATCAGGTTAACACACAGTATTCAGACAGAAAACTCAAAAAGGCTTGTTATATTGAGATTTATAAATACTTTTGCTTCCTTTGGAATTGTGTAAATTATATTGACTTTGTCACTTAAAGAGATGTAAAGCTCTTCCTTCTAGTCTAATTTGAAACAACTAATTAAATCTTCAGTAGGGTCACATAATCTACAAATACAGACTGAAAATCCCATAAACCAACTATTTCCATAGAAAGAAAATGGAGAATAAAATAAGTAGAATTCTTTTTCACTTACTGGTACACGTTGTTTCTTGCTCTTTCCTCCCCTACCCCCAAACCTTCCATCTCTTATGCCACTCACCATGAAATCTCTGCAGCAGGTATTCCATAAGAGAAGTCAGTGGCAAGACCAGAAGAGCCAAAGCAAAGGCTACATTGAAATTCAAAAATCCATTAACTAAATAGAAATACCAGGGTTCTGTACCTGAGGGAGAAAAAGAGGCAAGAAATCATTAATGGATGTTTTCAACACCTATTATAGTATCTGACTCACAATGTTCTTTGTTCAAATAATATTGAGGATCCAATGCCTCAAGTGACCAAGACTCTATAAAGTCTATTCTCTTTCTATGCTCAGTCACACACAGTGGCACAAAATCAGAAGATGAGAAGAGAAATGGATTGGTTGTGATGTTTTAGATAGAAACTAAGTTTTAAATATTTAGCTGTTCTTGGCTACTTATAGAAAATTTATCTATCTATATTCCCTTCTACCACATAAGGATGAAGAGTTCCTTCCAGAGGATGCAGCAATGAGGCACCACCTTAGAAGTAGAGACCCAGCTCTCACTAGACATCAAAGCTGTCAGAGAGCTTTGACCTTGGACTCCCAGCCTCCAGAACTGTGAGGAATACATTTCTGTTCTTTATAAATTACCAATCTCAAGTATTTTGTTATGGCAGCACAAACAAAGACAGAAATTTACTATGAACCACCAAATAATTTAAATAGTTTAGGAAAAGAGCCACAAAGAGCTAAAAATTATAAAAAATGCCACTTCAATTTAACTATTCTCTTATCACTACAGACCAAAAAAAAAAAAAAAGAGTAATAAAGAAACTTGGTCTGAGATATTCAGGCCTCTGCCATCTTATTCACACCTATTTGATGCATTTACATTCTAGCATCTTTCCCCTGATATGTTCAACCACTATTTTATGGTCCTGTACACAGAGTACCTATTTATATCACCAGAAGCAACAAATTTGGTTTTGTAGGATCATACTGAGATCAGGCTGTGCTCAGAAGCTTAGAAGATTCAGAATGAAGCAAAATGCTGAAAACACAAGCCTCACTCACAGATTTCAATCTTTAGCTCAAAATCCTTAAATCTAAATGAGAAACAGTCCTCCTCTGCACATTTAGCAGGTTTTTCATCTGCTTTTTTCCTCCGTATGATTACTTCAATCAGGCAGTGAATGACACATGCGGGTTTTAATCACTGCGTGTTGTGACACCCGCCTTGCACCACAGCAATTTCCTGCAATCAGCATTGCTTAAAAGGGTAATCAGGAGGCAGAGGAATAGTCAGAAAAACCTGACAAAATTTTTGCAGCTTGCACAGCAAAATAAGATTAGAAACCAAACTTCATAATGCTAGAAACATTTAGGGAAGGAGTAAAAGGCAGGGGAGGGCATACTAAGGAAGAGTTCAAGTTCAACTTCTTGTAATCTTTGGGAAAAGTTCACTCCTTCCTGTCTAAACACAAAGACTGAACAATTAGGGATCAGGAAGGAGGCCAGGGAAGAAGGGAGAGCAGGGAGGTGAGGAGAAGACAAAAGGGAAGATGGACATGATCCATGAACAATACATGCACACATGGAAATGTCACAGTAAAACCCATCAATTTCTACAATTAAAATGTGTTAAAAAAATTAATACTAACTGGATTGTTCAGCAACAGAGATCCTGACCCAGGCAAGAACATTAGGGATATTTTAATCTTGTATTCTTTATATACCACTCTTTTTTATGAAAAACTATTGGATGGTGCTATTTTCAAAACAGAAATACATGCCTTCTCTGGGTTTTAATTAATACTTAAAAACATAAACTGAGTCCTTTAGATTCCAGCTACTGGAGAGGAGTTTTCACATAACCCTCTCTTGACCATCAGTGTGGAGGCAGTGCTATCAACCTTTAACTCCTTTTTTTCTTAACAGAATTTTGAAAATCTGAGCCTGTAAAGAAAACACAGAGTGACCAGAGAGAAAGAGGGTTATATTTTACACCATGCATTACAGAGAGTAAGCATCAAAAGAAAAAAGCCTCTTGTCTCTTTGATATTTGCAAATATAGATTTTTTTTTTTTCAGAAAAACTGTTCCACTTATAGAAAGTTTGTCTCTATCACAATTTATTATACCATTCTGTTTGAGCTGTCTTTTTACCTAGGTATACTACACTTTGAAGTATAGAAGCATTAAGTTGAGAGCTAGGCTTTGAGCATTTCATAACAGGCTGTTATTTCTCTGAAGGATGGTACAAAAATTGGGGGATAAGCCAAGAGTAAAGAAAGTTCAAGTGACAACAGTCTTAATAAACAAGGGTGAACAGGGACCCAAAAAAAAAGGGGGGGGGGGGATTTTGTTAGCTAGTATCATTCCCTACATATTGAGATACTTTCTTAGGGGGAAAAAAAAAAAAAGGTTTAAACTTGTATTTTCTTCCAGGGAACTCAAAACTAATGTTCAAAAAATATCAAAGCTGAACAATGCAGACAAAAACACTTCAGAATGATAAGCAGAGCACTGAACCTGTGCAAGATGTGAGGTAAAGCAAGCTGGCAGCAGGGTTTCTGCAGGGAGTGACTCACAATTCTCCCTTTTTGGAAAATGCCTCAATTCCTTTCAATCAAATGATCTAAAGGGTGTTTTGAAAGAGGCTTAAAGAAAAAATGATATTTACTGTTCAACAGATTGAATGAAGGGGAACGTTTTTATGGGCCTGATATTTAACAGGTATGTAGGAACTAAATTACAGCAAGTCATCCTCACAAATGTCAAATTTGTACCCCCAAGAGGGAAAAGCCACCAAAATTCCACAGAAATGATTAACAAGAGAATGAAGGCTTCAGAACAGTTCTGGCTGGCAGTCAACTCTAAGCAGTCATAAGACTCCATTGGAGCTTTACCCTCTATTGCTGCAAGGATGGGAAACAGCAAGCCTTCAAACAGCAGGCATTTGCCTTTTCCTTCTGAAACTTCCTGTCCAGTGATCTGACTAATGTTGACAAAACACATAAACAAGGTTTAGGGTCCTGTCCTAAGCTGCAAAGTGACAGTCTTGAGTAGACCCACTGTTGATTTTGAGGGAAAAGTGATTCATTTAAGTGCCTCCCATACCTTCTCCAGGCCAATGAATTCCTCATAAGAGAGCACTTCTATGCAAACACCAGACAACAAAACTCACCCACATCAACATCTGGAAACTTGAAACATTACCAGAGGCAAAAATCAGTGCCAAACGAATCACTTTTCTTTTCTGCGATGTTGTTTTACCTGTTGATCTTCGACCCTACAAATCATGTAAGATCTTGCTTATGACTTTACAATTTTAGTCTATACCACTCTAAATTTCCTACACCAAGTATTCTTTACTTTATCAAAACATTCTTTCTTTCTTCAAAAGGGATCAAGCACATTGCTCCCACATCAAACAGCTTGCCAGCATGCATATCACTCTGCCCTCTGAGCCCTCCAAGGCCAAAACCCTTCAAAGGTGCCACTTCCCCTCATTCCTTGGGTTGACTCTTACCTTCTACTACTCTGAACTCATGCTGCCTGTTTTTGCAAACTTATTCTCCTGTAGAATCTCAATGGCTAAATTCCAGGGTTTTGCTAAGGGTATTTTCAATTGAAAGAACACAGGCCTGGGAGTTAGACAATCCTGTGCTCTCATCTGATTTGTTCTACTTATTTAATTAAGTGCTGAGTTCTTCACCACTTCAACTTTGGTTTCCTCATCTGTGCATAATTTATGCCTATCTTTATCTCACAGAGTTTTTATGAGGGGAAGAAGACGGTATGTGAAAATTTTCTGGCATATAATGTAACAGGCATTCAGTAAACAGAAGGCATTGTGATTGCTATCTGTGCAGAAGTACTCCTTTACTTTTCCCTGATTTCAAAACAAAGTAGTCAGCTCGGGTCTGCAATGTATCATTAATATATGCTATCTAGCCAAGAAAGGTAGAAAGTTCTCTTTGAAAACCAAGAACAATAGAGAAGGTAAATATTTATATTATTATAATCACAATGGAAATAATAAAATCATATTGCTCATGACCAAACAGTTTCTACCCAAAATTCAGTCAATGCTCTAAAATGTTGTGTTTAAAAATAATTCAGTATTCAATCTTTTTTCCTCAGCAGTCCCTATACTTTACGCTCCATTTGTCTGAAATGACCCCCACCCCAGCATCTACTAGGCAAATTCCTACTCTTCCTTCCAGGCTCAACTCAATCACTACATCTTTCCTGATACCATCAGAGGAATTTGCTCTTATGATTCCCTGACTCTCTTCATCCCACTGTAACACATAATACACTGTACTATAATTACCGTATGCCTGCAGCCTTATGAGACAGTCTATTGAAAGGCAATTTATTCACTGTTTCTTCAATTGAAGTCTATTCATACAAAAAGTATATGTAGGCTTTTTATGTTCCTATGTATCAGAAGCAGCACTAAAAAATATGTAAAACACTATAAGCATAATGCATTTCCATTTTCAGATAAAGTGTGTGCCTACAATAGCTAATGAGGCACTTGGAGCAGGAAACCCTTATAAAATAGTCAAAATAATACAAAATGTGCCAAACACATACGTAAATGAAATAGAACTTCCAACACTTAAGATATACCATCTCACTGTTTGATAATTTTACATCATCAATGCACCTATAAAATAAGTCTTTGATATTTTCTGAATGGATTGACAATTATAAAGTATTTTTAAGTATTTTATATCTATTTTATTCCTGTTCAATATCAAGAAATCCCAAGCCAGAGAGGGGACATTTTAAAAAAAGAAGAAGAAGAAGAAAGAAAGAGAGAGAGAGAAGAAAATCCCTAACTAAGTTGCCCAGGCTGGCCTTGAACTTATGATCTGCCTGCCTCCGCCTCCTCAATAGCTGGCATTATAGGCACATGCCACTGAACCCAGCCTATACTCTTTAAAGAATGAAAATCAGACCAAAACAATCTGTCAATTCAAAGATGAGATAAAAGCTCAAAAATTCTACTACTGAGGAATAATTCCCTTAAGGCTAGCTACTACAGCATTGTATCAGTCCTATTCATGGCTGGTCTGACTATTTCCACTATCCCAACAAAGCTTTTGCCACCACTAGAACAGTGATCAGTTATCTATATCCAAAACAGGAAAATCTGAACCAAAGCCATCCTAGGTACACCAAAGCAGAACAGAAGCCCCAAGGACTCTTTCCTAGTAAAACATTAGCTGAAATGAATAACAAATGCTAATGTCCAAAGAAGAACAGGACACTACTCTATTGGATCCCCAAACTTACCACAGCACCCTGACCAACCCATAGTTAAACTAGAAGTATAAACGTAAAATCAGAATGTATTCTTTCTTCCTTACTTCCCTACCAACATTATTATTTTTAGATTTATAAGCTTTATCAATCTAGAGGGCTACAAAAAATGTCACCTTAATGTACTCTAACAAAGGTTTTATAAATAAGCAATCAGAATATTATTATATTATAACCCATTCATAATACTGGAGAAGCCAATTTTTCAAAATAAGTAGAAATTATCTCACCTATACAGAATGTAAACAATTTTTATCAATGCCATCTGGGTTTTAAATCTTCTACTGTCTTATAGATTCAAATAAAATCTTATAAACTAAAACAAGGAACAATTAAAAACATGCAAACTTTCCCTAGTTGAAGGGAGACATCTAGAGGCAAGAGCTTAGAATTAGAGGCCTTTCTCAGATCCTTGAGGACCTTGGAACCATAAAGGAGCCTTTGAAAGTTCTTTCACTTAGCAATTTTTCTTTATGTGATTTGTGAATATAGTTCACCAAACAAAGCACTCCTTATTGTGACCTATTACTTGCTATCTAAAATGAAAATATTTCCAAAATACCAGAGCTCAAGTAAATCTCACTTGAAGCTTCTCGTGCAATCTATTGGATCTACTTATACCGTGGCTCAGGCAAATGAAGGACATGGCTAGCAACAAGACTTCAATTTATAATAGGCAAACAAGGTGACAATATTGACCAGCTTCATAGAATAGGCAAGACATTCACATATTCAGAACACTCTATAGATTAAAAGATTAAAGTAGAAGAAATTATACTTATTCTAATGAAAAATCTGCTTCTCTCCATGGCCGATCTGATCAGAAAAATCTCCAGCTCAAACCTATGTAGCTATAACTCATATGCCTTCAGGGGTCAAAACAAAACCTTGGCTCAACAACTGGTGAGAAAGGCAGGAAAGGAGGAGTGAAGATGGGAGTACACTGGATGAAGCAGCCCAGTTTAACGGCATTCAATTTTTTTTCTCTTAACCCTAAATGACCAAATTACCTACCATCTCTTGATGACTCCATTCCCATTTGTTACACTTTGTTTACAGATTTTTCCAAATGTTCTCTCCTAATATCTGGTATTGAAGTGATGCAAATTAAAAAAAAAAAAGTAATATAAAGTATCTGTGTGTGCAGAAAATGTCTAGAGGTATATACTTCCAAGTGTCAACAATAGCCACATGGAAATGATGGGATGATGTTATTATTTTCTTTTTGTTATCACATTAATTTTCTGATAAAGGGGAAAAAGAGTATAGAGGTTGAACTCATTGGTAGAAAGCCTGCCTAACAAGGGCCTGGATTCAATCCTCAACATCAGAAACAACAACAACAAAAAAAAGTAGCATCAAAAGCCATGGACGTTCAATAGTTCTCAAAACTCTATCTCTGGAAATTGGGAGTAACATACCAAGACAGAGGACTAATATCTGAATATCACATTTTTCAAGGAGAAGTATTTAAGTGGCTACATGACATCACTGTGCTACATTCAAATGGTTTTTTGTTTGTTTGTTTTGCAGTACTGGGAATTGAACCCTTTCTTTCATTTTTTATTTTGAGAGAAGGTATTGCTAAGTTTCCCAGGCTGGCCTTGAACTTCTGATCCTCCTGCATTATCCTTCCGAGTAGTGGGGATTATAGGCATGTGTCACCATAACCAGTCAAATATCATTCTCTTTAAATTTAAAGCGGGAAAAGATCACCAGCAAAGAAATGCTATATTTAATGAAATAAGATAACTGAATTAAAATTTTGAAGTTTAGGTAAGTGAAGCTATTTTCTACTCTTCCCCAAATTTCATAAATCCTTACCATAGAGATCAGGTCCATGAGAAGTGAAGACATTATACAAAACAATGTTGAGTGGTGCAATGACCAATTTCCCATAATAGTAGCTGTCGATGACCACCACAGGCACCTAAAACAGAACAGAAAACAGAAAGTACAGGAATTATGGAGTTTTACTCTAGGAATATTCTCAAAATGCTGAGAATGAAAAACAAAATCACCTCCTAATGTTTCCTTTTCCACATCAGAAGTTATTTTCATTATGATATGAGAACAAAACGAGAAAAAAGAAAACTCACCAGAAAGAGAATTAGGGCCACCAGTGACCAATGAAAGAAACTTTTCCACCTGTGTTTCATGACCAGCAAATCAAAGGCAATGGGTAAACTATTCAACAGAGAAACAAAATGGGAAGTTATGTAAAATACTTAACAGGCCATATTCACACGTATCTATGCCAAGTTGAGAATAAAATGTCTCTATCAGTGACAAAGAGGGAAGAAAACCAGTATGTGAGAGTATATCTTCTGAAAAATACGTGATCTTTTCATAGGGACCTAGAGATCAATGTGTCCCATACATATACAAATCTAAATACTGAGTTGCTAAACAAACTGCATTTTATACATATTTCTGTATAATGGACATTTAAAAGATATTAATTATAGAGTCTGGGGTTGTGGCTCAATGTTAGAGCACTTGCCTAGCATTTGTGAGACACTGGGTTCAATTCTCAGCACCACATAAAAAAAAGTCCATCAACAACTAAAAAAATATAATATATAAAAAAAAGATATTAATTATAAGCAACTGGACCCTATTATCCTTCACCGATCTCAGCAAATAAATACTGATCTTTCTCTTATAAGATTTAGCAGGCTTTTAGCAATATAATATCACAAACTCTGACTTCAATTCTGATATATCCTCTTCCAACACCATTAACTCTTCTTCCTTTACATTCCTTCAGAACTTATAGACAGCAGAACTTACAGAAAACAGCCTAAGATACAATCTTAAAGATACAATAATTTTAGGATGATACGAAGAATAGATCATATTGGAGGTAGGGAAACCAGACTTTTAAAAGGAAATGAAGAAAATTTTAAATGACCCATCCTCTTAGTAATTTCCTGTTTAAAAATTAATGCCATAATGAAATTCTACCAAGTATACAAAGATATATGTACAAAATTCATTGAAGGGTTGGGCATGTAGCTCAGTGGTAGAGTACCTGCTTAGCATGTGCAAGGCCCTGGGGTCAATCCCCAGTACCACACACACACAAAAAAAAAATGTTCACTGAAACATTATGTTCAGTAACAAAAACTACCAATAAGGCATGGTTAAATAAATTATAGTATAGTCAGTTGTATAATAGAACATTATGCAACTGATAGAGAATGACATAAATCTGTGCTCAAGAAAAGATAAATAGCCAGGCACAATGGTGTACAAGGCCCTAAATAACATAGCAAGACATCATTTCAAAAAATAAAAGTAAAAAAGGCTGGAGATATAGCTCAGTGGTTAAGTACCCCTGGGTTCAATCCCCAGTACCAAAAAAATAAAAGGTATTGTATGTACAGAATAATTCTATTTATTTCAAAATGTGGTAAGTATGTGTGTGTGTGTGTGTGTGTGTGTGTGTGTGTGTGTGTATGCCTATGCATTTATAGACACAAGGATAATTTCTGGAAAGACATACAAAAATTATTAGCAGTGACTGTCACTGAGGACTGGCTAGAAGAGAAAAGAATTAGGAATTCCTTTTAAATCATACAACTTTTTTTTTTTTTTTTTTCAGTGCTGAAGATTGAATCCAGGGCCTTTTGCATGCTAGGCAAATGCCTAGCTACCACCCACTTTCTGGTACTTTTTTTTTTAAGCAAAGAAATACTACTTTTATAATAACCTTAATATCAAACTAAAAATTTTTTTTAATTATTAGAACAGTCAATAAGTTAAAGCAGCACAAATTAGAATAAAAGATATGAGAACAAAGAGTAAAGGAAAGGAATGAGAGATACAATTGAACTTGGAAAAAATAAAGCTGGAGTTCAACACAGTTGTGCACATCTGTAATCCCAGCAGCTCTTGAAGCTGAGGCAGAAGGGTCGTGAGTTCAAACCCAGCCTCAGCAAAAACAAGGCACTAAGCAACTTAGTGAGATCCTGTCTCTAAATAAAATACAAAATAGGGCTGGGGATGTGGCTCAGGGGTCGAGTGCCCCCGATTTCAATCCCCTGTACCAACCCACCGTCCTCTGCCAAGAACAAAAAACAATACTGGGACAAGGAAAAAGGGACTGAAGCAAATTCAGATTTCAAGCCTTGATGAAGAAGAAAATGTATAGCATAGTATGATGCAGTGTGGGGGGGGAAAATATCAGTTAAACAATCAGAAAGGCCTCGATTCAAAAGCAAACATAATCTTAAATATGAATTACTCAAACTTTTGGAGTCTATTTTTTCAATTATAAAGCACTAATGATCTCCTGCAGAGCTGTTGTCAGGTTCTGGAATAAAGTTTACAAAGGTTTTAGCAGTGCCTCAGATACAGCAGATGCTTAACAGCCATTACTATTATTAGAATTAATCATAATAATAAGCATTAAGAAAACCATGCTTTTGGGTTGGGGTTGTAGCTCAGTGGTGCAGTGCTTGCTAGCATATATGAGGCAATGGGTTCAATCCTCAGCACCACATATAAATAAATAAAAGTATTATGTCCATCTACAACTTAAAATATATTTTAAAAAAAGTAAATAAAAACATGCTATTGCTTCCCAGAATCTTCATAGGCACAATCGATTCCTATAACTTTAGGTGATACCTAGATAATATGGAGTTAATTCAACATTAAGATTTACCTTATGCCCAGGAATATATGAGAGGAACTATGTTAGTATCTTACCCAAGAGCCGCACTGAATGGCCAGCCTAAGATAGCCCCAGCTGCTACTCCCAATACAGCAATGGCAGTCTTGTCCATATACCATCCAGTCATGGCTATCAACGTGGTATACATACAGAAGCTACTAGGAAGGAATGCTATAAGAGTAAAGAAATGAAAGGAGGGAAGGGGACAAGAGTCTAAGATTAGGTATCAATTATTAAAAATTAACTTACGCTGAAAAATGTCAATAACTAGCAACATATTTTGGGCAATACAATACAAGAAATAGCCGGTAAAGGGACCCTCCTTTAAAAAGAATGTTCAATGATTTTCTGATTTTCTCACTCTTTTTAGGTATCAACACACGGCCCCAATTATAGACTAACCTCATCATTTTTCTCCTAGCCTGTTCCTCAAATCTAAAACTTATAAATTCCAGTTTCCTCAGGAATTACTCCAGGTTATATTTCCAGGCAGACAAATGCTTTAAAAGTCTTATAGCCATAGCCAACAATTTATTTCTGAAGAAAGTTATCTTTTAATAGTTTCCTGAGACTGTCCTAGTTCCTAACCTGTACCTTACAGTAATTCTAGGAAGTCTGACTCAAGGACCAGACATTGGATGGCAGCACTTATTTTATTTTTCATACCAAGGATTTAACTCAGGGGCACTTAAAAACTGAGCCACATCATCAGCCTTTTTTTTTTTTTTTTTTTTTTTGAGATAGGGTTTCACTAAGTTGCTTAGGGCCTTGCTAAGTTGCTGAGGCTGCCTCTGAACTTTCGATCCTCCTGTTTCAGCCTCCCAAGTCACTGGGTTATAGGCGTGCTTGCTCTACCATGCCAGTTCAGCAGCACCACTTTGCATCCTGCATCCACTGACATAAAGAATCTGGTCTTTGGATAGTCTCCTAATTATTTACATGTACCTTAACCTTGTTGTGGTATACAGCAGAGGAATGAGCATATTCAGGGCTTCTGCAACAACAATCAAAGTATTTCTAAAAACTCTGAACAAAAATGTAGATCTGAATAGGTGTAAGAGGGCATGCCTGTAATTCCAGCTACTTGGGAGGCTGAGACAAGAGGATAACAAATTCAAGGGCAGCCTCATCAATTTTGAGAGACCCTGTCTCAAAATTAAAAAGGAGTGGGGGCAGCATTTTAGATGTAGGACACTGGTGGAGAACTTGCCTACCATGTACAAGGCCCTGGGCTCATACCTAGTACTGGGGAAAAAAATTCAAATCTGAATCTCCTGCTGCAAAAGATCTGATCGTACAGCAAGCACTAGAGAAGAAAAATCAATTGATTTTAAGAACTACAAAAAAGAAGCAGTGAGATTTAAGAAACTCAGAACAGGGTTCAGAGGCTCTGTATCAAAGCTTCCTTTAACTTATCTGTGCCTCAACTGATTGTACAAAATTGAAGATATTCCCAGAAATCTCCCACACATAAAACTCAATTTTTAGAGTGGCAAGGTAACTAAAAAAACATGAGGTACAACGTTCAAAAATAAATGCTACATAATATGATGCCATCCAATGCTATCAATTCCACCTACTGAGGTAGAGGACAAAAGTACAGAGGTATCCATGGTCTCTGCCAGCTTCCAGGATAAAGCATCAACAAATTTATGACAATGGATCTCAAAGTTATTCCAGGGTAGAACCCTGAGCTTTCCACAAAGCAACATTAATTTCAATATATTCAGTGGAAAAGTAAACATGTAATTTTGTGCCAGATACTATTTTTGTGTATACTATATTTTGTATATATTTAGTATGCACATTAGATTCTAGATTATACAAGCAGAAACTAAAATTGAGACAATGACACCTAGTAACTTAATTTTCCAGTAACTTAATTTTTCTAGAGAACTAGTAATTGACAGTATACCTTTTTAGCAGGCTGTATTGGTTCAGCACACAAAACACAGATGCTCAATGGCAGCACAGTTTGAAAGGTTTTATTCTAAATTCCTAGAAGCTAACTTCAAAATCAAAATAAATAAAAAAATAGAAGATTGCACATTTCAAATAATGGGCAGAAAACAAAATAATCAAGAAAAGAGTTTTTAGGCCCAAAGAATAACTTTTTTTAAAATTTTTTTAATATTTATTTTTTAGTTGTAGTTGGACACAATACCTTTATTTCACTTGTTTATTTTTATGTGGGGCTGAGAATCGAACCCAGGATCTCACATGTACGAGGCGAGTGCTCTACCGCTAAGCCACAACCCCAGCCCTTTTTAATTGTTGATAGACCTTTATTCTATTTATTTGTATGTGGTGCTGAGAATGGAACCTCATGCCTCACACATACCAGGTAAGTGTGCTACTGCTGAGCCACAGCCCCAGCATTCTCAAAGAACTTCTTAAAAAAAAAAAAAAATCACTTCCCTTCCCATCGTGGCCAAGAAAGGAAGTGGGTGGTTGATGCAAGAATGTAATAAAAAGCACCCTGGTGAGTTTCAGTTATGAATTTTGACATCTAGTAAGTTCTTTTCACCTTGCTAAGTTTCAGTGCCTTCACCTGCAAAAATGAGAAAATGTTTCTCTTATTTATAGCACGGGACTGTTGTAAAGGTTAATCAAGATAATGTAGATAAGGGTGCTCTGCAAATTACTGACATTTTATACAAATATAACCTATGTCTGGACAAATTTTTCCTTGCAATACAACTGCAAATCATGGAAGAAACTGCTATCCCCTCACCTGTACTTTTACTTACCAGATGATGAACAAAACATGCCAGTGCTGAGCACCAAGAAGGCTAGCATCATTCGACTCACATGGAGCCCAAACTTTTTGCACACAGCCCTAAAAGGCAAAGACTATTAGTATCACAGATAATAGACACAGACATTTTAAATCAAAGAACATGTTATCAGAGATAATACTGAAAATTTAAAGTCAAATATAGAACTCATTTGATAAGTTTGCTAGCATTTTCATGTGCATCTTACTCCTGACATAGGAGTGAAGTTCCCTATCCAAGAGGAAATACATACTTTACATGCTAAAATTATGAGCCAGGCAAGCACTCTACCACTGAGCCACAATCACCGCCCCAGGTCTCTTTTTTTTTTTTTAACTCCACAAATTAAACATTTTTAGATATTATTATTGCTTTGTTTGTTCAGATACACTTATGTGATAGCCTTTTCCTTGCTCAGATTCCTTATTTTGCTTGGAGCTTCCTTCTGAAATCATTTTGTTTCTTTACAAGTACATCATTTAGAAATTCCTTTAATGAGAATCTGTTAATGGTAAATCCTCTGGGTTTTGGTTGGTTGGATTCTTTTTTTTTATTCCTCTTCTGAAAAGCCTTCCTTTATTTAGCTCGATTGTGAGATGATTTGACTGAATATACAATTTTAGAATGACAGCCATTTTCTCTCAACACTTTGAAGACACCTTTTTTTGTCTAATATTTTTTCTAGTATTCCTTTATAGATATTCCAGTAGTTCTCTGTCAACTTTTAACATCTTTTTCTTTGTCCATGGGGTTTTACATAGTTTCACTGATTTCTTTTCATGAATATAGTTTGGGATATTGTCACGAGCAGCTTCTCAGCCTTGTCTGGTTACCAGGAGTTCCCTTCCGGATATCTGCACTGGACCCCGGACCGCGACGTACGCGAACACCAAGCACGAACTCGATTGCCTTTTGAAATGCTGGTTTATTCGCACACCACACAAAGCAATACACGAGGTGGCTGGCACACAACTGCACGATCTTACTCTCAGGCGACGAGAGTTAGTTGTGAGCAATTACATGGAGTTTCCCCCGCGCTTATATACTTTACAAGTTGTTCATATCTAACATAAGCATACTGCCTGACTACTTTATCATCCTATGACCACAACTTAGAAGGTTACATCATCCACACTCAAAAAGGTTATATCATCCACTTATCTAACATAGACACACTCTCTGGTCATCTTGTGACCAGCACTAAAAAGTCACTGAGTTACTGCAAAGTCCAAACAAGTCCAAACAAGTTTCTCTGCTGATCCATGCTGACCCTTCATTCTTGATGTTTTACTCCTGTCATTTATATAAGATTTACTAAATCTAGAGATTATCATTTTTCCCACCAATTCTAGAAAATTCTCAGCTACTATTTCCTGAATATTGCCTCTCCTCATTTTCTGTATCATTTCCTAAATTCGGATGAGATCTATATCAAATCTTTCAGCTCTACCTTACATACTTTTTAGCCTCTGACATATTCCTATATTTTCTTCTTCTTCTTTTTCTTCTTTTGGTCTATCAATACTGTATTCTTAATAATTCCCTCAAATCAGTCTTCCGGTTTACTAGTTTACTTGTTAGCAGTATCCAAAAAATGCTGTTAAAATTACCTGCTGAGTTTTAAATATCTATAATATATAAGTATTACGAATATTATATCAATATTGCTTATTATACAACATTATGTAAAATTAATAATATGAATATAATTATATTGTCATTTCTACAAGTTCTGGTTCTTTTTTCAAATTTACCTGGTCCTTTTTGTAGTCTCTTTTCTCTTGTTCATTTTTTCAGTTCCCTTTTTTGTTTCTTTAAATATACTAAATATACTTATTTTACTTTTCTTTAAATATACTATATATACTTATGTATATTTAGTATATTTAAAGAAATGTATATTTAGTATATTTAAAGAAAAATATTAGTATATTTACCTAATAAGTATATTTAAATATATATTTAAATATACTTTAATATTTAAGTATATTTATATAAGTATATTTCAATAAGTATATTTAAATATATTTAGTATATTTACCTAATTAGTATATTTAAATAAAATATTAGTATATTTACCTAATAAGTAAAGTTTTACAGTTTAGCTAATTGTTGTTATTTCTTTACTATTTATTTTTTAATTTGTTCTAATTATACTGACAGCAGAATGCATTTTGGCACATTATACACAACTGAAGCACAACTTCTCATTCCTCTAGCTGTATGCAGTGTAGAGTCACACAGTTAGTCATACATGTATATACGGTAATAATGTCCTTCTCATTTCACCTTCCTTCCTACCTCAACACCCTCTCCTCTCCTCTCACTCCCCTCTGCTCAATCCAAAGTTCCTTCATTCTGCCTACCCACTCCCCCCACCATGACGGATCAGCACCAATTATCAGAGAAAACATTCAGCCTTTGGCTTTTTGGGATTGCCTTATTTAACTTAGCATGATCGCCTCTAATTCCATCCATTTAGGATGGAATGCCATCATTTCACTGTTGTTTGTGGCTGAGTAATATTCCATTGTGTATATATACCACACTTTCTTTATCCATTCATCTGTTGAAAGGCACCTAGGTTGGTTCCATAGTCTAGCTATTATGAATTGAGGTGCTATAAACACTGATATGGCTGCGTCACTGTAGTATGCTGATTTTAAGTCCTCTAGGTATAAACCAAGGAGTGGGGTAGCTGGGTCAAATCGTGGTTCTATTCCAAGTTTTCTGAGGAATCTCCATACTGCTTTCCCAAGTGTTTGCACCAATTTGCAGTCCCACCAGCAATGCATGAGTGTACCTTTTTCCCCACATTCTCATGAACACTTATCGTTGATTTTACTCTTCAGTGTTGCCGTTCTAACTGGAGTGAGATGGAATCTTACAGTAGTTTTGATTTGCATTTCTCTAATTGTTAGAGATGATGAACATTTTTAATGTTTGTTAATTGACTGTATTTCTTCTTCTGTGAAGAATCTGTTCAATTCCTTAGCCCATTTATTGATTGGGTTATTTGTTTTTTGGGTGTTAAGTATTTTGAGTTCTTTATATATCCTGGAGATATTAGTGTTCTATCTTATGTACGAGTGGTAAAGATTTTCTCTTATTCTCTAGTTTATCTCTTCACATTCTTGATTGTTTCCTTTACTGAGAAGAAGCTTTTCAGTTTGAATCCATCCCATCTATTGATTCTTTTTTTTTTTTTAAATAATTTTTATTTATTTTTATTGTTTAATTTTTCGGTGGACACAACATCTTTGTGTGTATGTGGTGCTGAGGATCGAACCTGGGCCGCACGCATACCAGGAGAGCACGCTACCGCTTGAGCCACATCCCCAGCCCCCCATCTATTGATTCTTGATTTTACTTCTTGCACTTTAGGAGTCTTGTTAGGGAAGTCAAGTCCTAAGCCAACATGATGAAGATTTAGGCTTACTTTTTCTTCTATTAAATTATAGGGTCTCTGTTCTAGTGCTTAAGTCTTTGATCCACTTTGAGTTAATTTTTGTGCAGGGTGAGAGATAGAGGTTTAATTTCATTTTGCTACATATGAATTTCTAGTTTTCCCAGCACCATTTGTTGAATAGGCTATCTTTTCTTCAATGTATATTTTTGGCGCCTTTCTCTAGTATGAGATAACCATATTTATGTGGGTTTGCCTCTGTCTTCTATTCTGTACCATTGGTCTTCATGTCTATTTTGGTGCCAATACCATGACATTTTTGTTATTATTGCTCTGTAGTATAGTTTAAGTTCTGGTATTGTGATGTCTCCTGCTTCACTCTTCTTGCTAAGCACTGCTTTGGCTATTCTGGGTCTCTAATTTTTCCAGAAAACTTCATGATTGCTTTTTCTAGTTCTATGAAGAAAGTCATTGGGATTATTATTTCTGCTGGCTCTAATTCATAATGTCTTACTCCTGTCTTTGTGATTGCCCTATTTTGTGATTTACATTTATTATAATTTCTTGTTCACTAGGATCTTATATCTGGTAATTCTTTGACATCTGGGTTAAAGGTCCAGTTATCAACAGAAATTTTTATAAGACGCCTGGGGAAACTACAATTTAAAGCAAATCTTCAAATTTGGGTTTAGGGAACTACTTGGGTAATTTGAACTCATGCCCCAAACCATCTGAAGACCAACTTATGGCTATAGTTCTCAAAATCAGCACTGGCTTTGTTTTTTCCTCTATTCCACTGAAAGTTAAGACAAAAGGGTTTATTTTAAATCTGACATATTTAGCTGTAGGAAGATTTTTAATAATGATCGTTAAGTTCAAATACCTTTTGATACATCAAAGCATTACTAAAATGTTTGTTATATGCCATGTAAAAAAAAGTGACTGATTATTCTTGTTTTTATTTATTTATTTAGGTACCAGGGATTGAACTCAGGGGCACTTGACCACTGAGCCACATACCCAGCCCTATTTTGTATTTTATTTAGGGACAGGGTTTCACTGAACCTCGCCATTGCTGAGGCTGACTTTGAACCCTCAATCCTCCTGTCTCAGCCTCCTGAGCCACTGGGATTACAGGCATGCACCACCGCACCCGGCATGGGAACTATTCTTGTTATTGGAACATTTAAATGCTTAATAATACCATTAACATTCAATCAACTGATAGTTACTTTATGAAAGTCAATGTATTTTGTGCCAATAAGAGCAAAGAACCCTGCATTGGGAATAGTTTCTATCAGATATGCTCTAGGGGAGAGATAAATCATGATTCTGTAACTTAGAATCAAAAATAAAGTTCTATTAAATCCTACTAATGGATTAACAGAATTAAAATTAATAATATGAGCGCCTGGGGCTGGGATTGTGGCTCAGAGGTAGAGCGCTCACCTAGCACAGGCAGGACCCGGGTTCGTTCCTCAGTACCACATAAAAATAAAGGCATTCTGTGGGGTCCATTTACACCTAAAAAAATAAATATTTAAATAAATAAATAAATAATGATAATATGAGGGCTGGGAATATGTCTCAGTGGTAAAATACTTGCCTAGCATATGCAAGGGTTTGGATTCAATCCCCAGTACCATAAAAAAAATTAATGATATGATATATGAACTTCTCCAAGATGTATATATATAATGAAATATATATATATATGTGTGTGTATACACACACACAGAAAAGAAAATGATAATTAGAAATATTCCTCTTCAACTATTTTTGCAAACAAGAAGTTGCACTTCAGAGCTAGAAGGAAAGTACATTCTATTTCTGATCATTGCCTGGACAATCAGAGAAATGATCTATGCTATAATGAAATTTCTCCTAGAACTTTTTTTAGCAAAGCTTTTATACTCACTTGTAAAAGTAAAGTTCACAAATACAGCTCACAAAAGCCAGAAGACATCGCAAAAAGTAAAAGACAAGAATCTGAAAAAAACCCAGAAAAATAAAACAGAAGTCACAGATAGGAAACAAAACTCATAAAAATGAAATCACTGTCATTTGTCATCATCAACAAACTGTTCTATCAACTGATACAAGTTTTTGAAAAGCCATATGTATAAAGAACCACACAAACTTTCATATCCCTAGACTCATGATACCTATTTCCAGCAGCAAGGGGAGCCATTCATGAAAATGTCAATTGCAATTAATTTAGTAAAAACTGTCTTAAAAACTTAAAAATGTCCAATTACAAGGATATAGTTAAATAAATTATGCTATGTTGATTTCATGAAATATTATATAGATATTAAAATTCATAATTACAATGATAGTAGACAATTTCTCGCAATATAATACTCATTCACTCCACAAGCACTTCAGACAAAATATATTAAGTAATAACTTCTCACAAATGACTAAGTGAAAATGTACAATACAATATTATTATACATTAGAATTACAGCTATGAAAACTATATGTATATGAAAAGACTGTGAAGAACTATAATACATGGTAAGCATAGCTGTGGCAGCCTGATGGAATTTAAGTTAGTATTTTTCCTTCTATCTTCCAAACTTCTGTAATGTGGTTTTACTAATTTGTATTAAGGACATCAATTTTAAAAACAAAAAATAACAAAAAAAGTAATTATACTGAATAGCTTTTTATACTACAGAATACATATGTTGTGAGAGCACTGAATTCCTCAGAACATAAGCACTAAATACAAAGTATGATTAATACAAATACATATAAGTTGGAAATACTTTCCATGTTCGTTATTGTAACAAAATCTCAAAATGAGTCCAATAAAATGATCCAAGTAATTCCAGGTTCATTAATACAATAAAATATACTATACAATGAATACTACTATAGATGCTATTAAGAATACAGATATGGGGGCTGGGTTTGTAGCTCAGAGGTAGAGTGCTCACCTAGCATGTGTGAGCTACTGGGTTCGATCCTCAGCACCACATAAAAATAAAATGAAGGTAGTGTGCCCATCTACAACTAAAAAATAAATGTTTAAAAAGAAAAATAAAATGAATACAGATGGGGCCAGACACAGTGGCGTCCGTCTGTAATCCCAGCAGCTCAGGAGGCTGAAACAGGAGGATCACGAGTTCAAAGCCAGCCTCAGTGAAAGCGAGGTGCTAAGCAACTCAGTGAGGCCCTGTCTCTAAATAAAATACAAAACAGGGCTGGGGATGTGGCTCAGTGGTTGAGTGCCCCTGAGTTCAATCTCCAGTACACACACACACACACAAACACACACACACAAGAATATAGATAGCCAGATGTGGTTATGCCTGTAATCCTAGTGACTCGGGAGCCTGAGGTAGGAGGATCACAAATTCAAGACCAGCCTCAGCCTGAGTGATTTAGCAAGGCCCAAAGCAAGTTAGGGAGACTCTGCCTCAAAATAGAAAATAAAAAGGGCTGGGATGTAGCACAGCAGTTAAGAACCCCTGGCTTGGGCGGGGGAGGGGGGCGGGGCTGGGAATGTGGCTCAAGCGGTAGCGCACTCACTTGGCATGCGCGGGGCGCTGGGTTCGATCCTCAGCACCACATAAAAATTAAAAACATAAAGATGTTGTGTCCACTGAAAACTAAAAAAAAATATAAATATTTTTTAAAAAATTCTCTCTCTCTTAAAAAAAAAAAGATACTGGGTTCATTCCCTGATACCAAAAAACAAAACAACACCAACAACAAAATTTTAAATATATACATGTGCATACACACACACACACACATACATCTATATATACATATATAAAGAGATATACATAGATAATTTTTGGCAATTGTCTGTTTAAGGACTCCTAATGGGAGTGCAAATAAACATTTAGAAAGTTAAAGATTAACATGAACTTATATGAGAATTGTATTAAGAAGCAAGACAACAATGCTCCACCTCTACTAATATTCAACACAGTACCTAGTTGGTACAAACACACACACACACACACACACACACTCACACACACACACACCAAAAATAAATAAATAAATAAATAAGATAAAAGGAGTAGAATGGTGGAAACTAAATATACTCTTATAGTTTGGAAACAGTTTATCCAAACCATGCGGTGCTTCATGTGCTGGAAGCATGGTCACTGTGCAGTGATGTTAAGAGTGAACTTTAAGATTCTGAAAGAAAAAAAAAAGAGCGAACTTTAAGAGGGAACAAAGAAAACTAATTAGGCCATGGGGCTCCACCCTCATGAATGAATTAATGCTATCTCTTGGGAGTGGGTCCAGTCTCAGAGATTTAGTGGATGGTGCTAGAAAATTCACTTTACCACATAGCAAAAAAAAAAGCTGGATCTTTCCGGCTTAATTTTTTATAAAAATTAAACTTCAAATGATTAGTCTTATAAGTGAAAAGTAAAATTATAAAGAGAACACATATAAATATCTCCCTGACCCACCAACCTTGAGAAAAAAATTGATTGATTTCAAGACTATATCAAAGTTAAGAATTTCTGCTCACTAAGACCATGAAGTTAATGACATATGACACTCCAAGAGAAAGATGTCCAATATCTAAAACCCAATCAGGGGAAAAAAAAAAAAAAAGAGCAAAAACCCAATAGAAAAATAAGCAAAGGACATGAACAGGTAATTCACAGGAAAGGAAATAAGAAGACTAACACATATATGTAGAAACATTCTACCTCATCAGTATCAGAGTAATGGAATCAAAATGAGAAGCATCTCACTTTCACAAGAAAGTAAAAAATATCAAACACTTAAGTGAAGTGACGAAGCTAGAACCTCAATTTTGTGCAGCCATATGGATAGCAATCTGGCAGGACTCAGAGGTAAATAAGCCTAAGGATCCATGTGTGGCATTCCCTCCTGAGCGCATACTTCAGAGAAATTCATACACAGATCCAGAAGGAGATGATACAAAGGTGTTCTCGTTTGGAGTAGCAAGAAGTTAGAAAGGTAGCCATCACTACAGGTGTGAATTATTACCATACTCTCACAGCAACAACCATCTTTCTCTACTCCTCAGCATTACTATATTGGGGCAGGGACTCTCTGAACTACAATTCCCTTTGGCAGATGGTTCTCTTTTGGTTCCATTGACAGAACTAACAGGAAGAAGGAAATTGCTGTTCACATCAATGATATAAGAGGGTAATTGAGGGCTGGAGTTGTAGCTCAGTGGTAGAACACTTGTCTAGCAAGTGTGAGGCATTGATTAGGTTCAATCCTCAGCACCACATAAAAATAAAGGTATTGTGTCCATCTATTAAAAAAAAAGAGGATAATTGATATAAGAGAAAAACTATGTCAAACATGTCAATTTAAAGTGGATATACAAATGGAAATAAAAAATGCCAAACACTGCATATTTTTAGTTCTCTACTAAGTCTTTCATCCTATATTTTCTCTCCTCTGACAAACTGAAAAACAGAAATGAGATACTAGGTAGAGGAGGGAGGGAGGGACAGTGTTCTGTCATTCTGTCACTTTTCACCAGTGCTACCTTTCTGATCATTTTTTTATTTTTCTTTTTTTTTTTTTGGTACCAGGTATTGAACCTTTTAATGCTCTATAAATGTGGAGGGAAAAAAAATAGTCAAATCCTTGATAGATCCTTATATAATCTGGCCTCTTCCTACCTCCTCAGTCTCATCTAATCCACTCAACCCCTCTCTATCTCTTCCAAGACTCAAACCTATTTATTCAAGAAGACCATGCTGCTTCTTTCCAGGCTAAAGGTCTTGGTCTACAAGGCTCTTCCCAACTTCTTTAGTCTCATCAAGCCAACTTCTTCAGTTCTCTAATTAGAGACTTCTGCTTTAAGGAAGATGAGCCTTTTCCCTATTCCTCTTGCTAAGTAAATAAAAAAACTCTGGATAAAATATTAAAAATGCACTCAAGAATATTCTAAAGATATAGAAAACACTCCAATCAAGGCTTGTCTCTCTAGCCTCAATACTGGCATAGAAGAGACACAGGAAACAATCAGTGAACTGGAAAACAGAAGAACAGAAATATTCAATGTGGATAACAGAGAAAACAGATTAGGGGAAAAATAAAGATCAGAACTTCAGGGACCTGTAGGACTAATAACAAAAAATTCTTGTCATTGAAATTCCGAAAGGAGAGGAGAAACTGAACAGGACTAAAAAAGTACTCAAGAAGTCCCCAAATTTGGCAAAAGGCATAAACTTAAAGATACAACAATCTGAGCAAACTCAAAAAACTCCACGTCAAGACATCATAATCAAATTCCTGAAAACTAATCAGGTAAGGTCCCAGTTAAATCAATTATTCTTCAGCACTCTGCTTAAATCAGTACTTCCTAATGCTATCCTACTGCACCTTGTATGCACCTTGGATGTATTGTCTTCCCCTGTAAAACCTACTGCCACTTAGAATGACTTGTTCAGTGTTCATCTTTCCCACTGAACTATAAGTTCCATAAAGCAAGAACTTACTTGGTCATTGTTATAGCCATATCACAACGTCTTAGTAAATAAAAGCTATTCCATTAATATTTGTTGAATGAGGTATTACAAATATTTTTTTTTCCAAAAGAAGCCTCCTCTTGGCTGGGTGTGGCAGTGCCCACCTGTAGTTCTAGCTACTGCAGAGGCTGAAGTGGGAAAATCATGCAAGCCCAGATGTTTAAGACCAGCCTAGGCAACGTAACAAAATCCTGTCTGGAAAGAAGAAAGGAAAGGAAAAAAGGTCCCCTCTTAACTATCAATCAGCTTTGTCTCTTCTTCAAACTGTTGCAGAGACTTACCTCTTAATCAGCTGTGATTGCTTTCAAGTCGGCCTGTCCTTACCTTATTAGTTTGTAGAATTCTTGCATGAAATGCAGCTGGCCAGGCATGAAGCAACAGGTAAGCATAGGAGCGAATGGCATACACTGGGGAATATTCCCAAGTTTGAAACCCCTTTCCGTAGATGAGGTAGTGTGTCTACAAGTACAAACAGACAGATTCAGGATTATATTGACCAAAAATCTCTCTTAAGAGGATACACATAAAGTTTCTGAGTAAAAATATTAAAGAGACAAAGGTACACCAAAAATGCAAAATTCTCAACATCTGAAACCAGTGGATCAGAATCAAAATGACCCAATATTTAAAATATTAAGAGCCAGGCATGGTGGCGCATGCCCATAATCCCAGCAACTTGGGAGGCTGAGGGAGGAGGATTCCAAGTTCAAAGCCAGCTTTAGCAACTTATCAAGGCCCTGAGCAACTTAGCAAGACCCTATCTCAAAATAAAAATTAAAATTAGAAAAAGGGTTGAGGATGTGGCTCAGTGGTAAAGAACCTCTGGGTTCAATCCCTGGTACCAAAAAAAATTTTTTAAATAAAAATAAAATATTATGGTATAAATTCTACAAGATTGCTGCTTAGTCAACACCGAAAGTTTAAATTTTACTCCTATTTTTTTTAGTAGTCTTTAGGCAACATAGACAAATTCTAAATCTTTTTTTTTTTTTTTTTGTAGTTGTAGATGGACAGAATGCCTTTTATTTTTATGCAGTGCTAAGGACCGAACCCAGAGCCTCACAAGTGCTAGACAAGTGCTGTGCCACTGAACTTCAGCCCAGCCCAAATTCTAAATCCTACACTTTCCTTACTATCCACACTAACCATCCTTTCTCCATTTTTTGATGCAAAATATGATCAGAAAATTTTACTTGTGAATTTTCTATAAAAAGAAGCCACAGGTAATGTATAAATATATAAATCAAAAAAACAGCATTATTCAATGGATCGATGGACAAAGAAAATGTGGTATCTATAAAAATGGATTTTTATGCAGCCAAAAAAAAATAAAATTCAATCATTTGCAGGAAAATGAATGGAACTGGAGAGCATCATGTTAGGCAAAATAAGTCAAATCCAGAAGGTCAAGGGTCAATGTATTTTGTCATGGAAGCTAGAGAGAACAAGGGGATAAAAAGGATCTTGTGAAAATATAAGGGAGACCAACAGAATAGAGGAAGGGGACAGGATGTGAGGAGGGGAGGTAAAGGGGAGGAACTAGGAAGTAAAATTGACCAAATTATGTTAAGTGTAAGTACGGAAATCTCTATTATATATAATTATAATGAACCAATAAAATATTTGTGAAAAAGGGGGAAAAAAGAAACAGCACTGTAAGCATATTATTTAGTAACAGTTTATTTTGGTACATCAGAAGAAATAACTAAAAAGATTGAAAGAAAGTGAATGCCTATAGGAAGTGGAACTTGGACATAAGAAGTAGAATAAGGAGCTGTTTTTCCTCCGAGTTTTGTAGTAATTGTTAACTATAAAAACAATGTCCAAGTATTATTTTAAGAAAACATTTATTTTTTTTAATATTTATTTTATAGTTGTAGTTGGACACAATACCTTTATTTAACTCATTTATTTTTTATGTGGTGCTGATAATCGAACCCAGAGTCCCGCATGAGACAAGTGCTCTACGGCTGAGCCCCAACCCCAGCCCAAGAAAACATTTAAAAGGTAATTACAAATAACACTTCTGAGTAAAACACTGAAATTTCCTCCATCTTCAATAGTAGATAAGTCAAGTTTTTAGGCTACTAGAGTGAAAAGCTATTGTTCTAGTTGTCACACTTGTATCTTGATTGTAATAAGAACCCAGCAGCAAAATCAGGAACAAAACCCAAAAACTAAAGGAATCACCTACTGGTTCCCAGTAGTTGAATGTTTCATCGCAGTCAGAGATGTTGCTCAGGAGAGCAGCACATAACCTTGCTGAGAGCAGACACTTGAAAGCAGTAGATCCTTCAGGTGCCCAGACCTGTCCTGCTTTGTTTCCAGATAACCTGCTCAGAAGCAAAGAACAAAACAAACAATAAAAAGCATGTGTCAGGAAGGACCTACTAACCAAAAGGACTAAAATTAGGACAAGAAAGGCAAGGGAGATCAAAGCACTTAAGTCATTCACCTAAGAAGGTGAACCGTTTGTTGTTCTGAGTAGAATGTGTAAGGAATTAAGGCTTTAATCACTCCTTCAACTTTGTTTTTAAGGCATAAGTTCATTCATACACTTTATTTTGTTGCAACTTCAACACTTCATCTCAAACCAACTACTCACTCACTTTAAGGCCTCAAAGCTCATTCTCCTTTTCTTTCTTTCCTTAACAAGGTCATTACTTTCCATGGCTCTATTCATTTTCCCATGTGTTCAAATGAATAGAGGCCTAATATGTGCAAGGTCCATGACCTCTTCGGAATTCCACGTGTTGACAGTTCCTAGCCTGCAGTCTCCTGGCTTGGGGAGAGGTGGCTGCGGGTGCTGGAGGCTGGGGGGGCCCACGCAGAAGAGTAAAGGGGGCCTTCGGGGAGAATAAGAGAAGCTGTGAGAAACAGCCTTAAAAAGCATACTCTTTGATCCTGCCAACATCTCCCACAGCTCTGCCAACTCAAGACTAAGAAGCCTGCCCACTCTGGGCCTGGGCCAGAGCGTCACAGACCCGCATTCTCAAGGTTTCTAAACTAGACAAGGATCCCGAGGTGTAGAGACCTAAGGCATAGCAAAAACCGAACTCGGAAGCCGACCCGCCCGAAAGAGTGGAAGCACCAGGCTGGAGGGGCCGGGGCCTCGCCAAGGGAGGCCGCGCGGGTGAAATCCTCCAGAGTAGCCCCGACAGCGCCGGCGGCCGGCCACGCCCCCGCCGCTCCCGCACACGTACTCCGGCCGGTGCTCTGAGCTTCCCGGATCTCGGCTGCCCAGCAGTTCCCGCAACTTGTCCGCGGCTGATGCCGTTTCCCCGCCGCTGCCGCCACCGCCCTTCAGGCGCTGCCGACCCCCTCGGCTAGCCATGACAAGAGAAGGGGCTAAAAAGGTAGAATTCAACACGCTACGAAGTCGGCCAGAGCGCACACATAGCTTGGCTGGCAAACGGTGTCCGCCGAGGGACAAAAGACCTTGACATGCGCAGAAAAGACTAAATTATAATGTTACTGGCCAATTGGGGCAAATTCCTTAGAAAAGAAATAGGATCTTTCCCCATCATGGCTATCCCTTCCTCCTTCCAGCCCTGGCAGTCCTCCCCACTTTAACATTCCTCTTCAAATTTCAGCATTCTTTCTACATACAAAAATCTGTCCTTCAGTTACCCTAATTAAATGAAAGCACAAATACAAAGTGATTAAACGACCTGGAAAGTGAGTTGTGCAGAGAATTCAGTTAAAGATCACAGCACAACTGCCTATCACAGGAAAGGTCCCTAACCGCTCACTTTAACACCTTGCCCTCTCTGTATTTTGGTGATAGTAACAGAGCTAGTAGCTAATAAATGACTGCTTTTAGAGACACAAAACAGTAATGCCAGAATATGAACTGAAAAGTAAAAGACTTATGAAATTCTGTGGAGCAAATTTAACCAAACACAAGTCATTGTCATTAGGTAAAATGACTACTATGATGCCGTAGTACTATTTTATCCTTTTTTAATTTCTCACAATCTTGCTTTATTGAGAAGGAAATTATTTCTTCTCAATAAAGAAGGAAACCTTGCTTTATTGAGAAGGAAATTAAATGTTCCACAGCTAGCAAATGGTGGAGTTATATTCCAACTGTTGACTGAACTGACTACAAACCTATGTCCTTTCCACCAGATCAAGGCAAAGTGCTTGACTTAACAGCATTTTTACAAAGGCACATTGCTGATAACATATCTGCAACTCTCAGTGATCATTCATCTAATCCTAACACTGTCCATTCTCCAATCTCAGCATCTCTGTCCTGCCCTGTGGAGGTTTGTAACAGTAAGTTAAATAGTTTACATAGGACGTGCTGAACTTGATAGGGCTCCAGAAGATCATGATTCATAATGAAACTTCTCAGTATTAAAAAATGGAGATTGATCATATTGTTCAATTCCCACATGCAGTCCTGAGTTAACAAGGTCAAATATCCAACTTGGATATATCTAATATATCTGTTTCCTATTGAAAGTAGTAACAGAAAATAACAGAAAGAACATGTCGTTAGAGTCAAACCCAAATGTTAACCATAATCTGATACTTACTAGCTCCATGACTTTCATAATGGTCAACCACAAAAGAAATACAATAAGAGAAGCTATGAGAAATAACCTTAAAAAGCATACAATGATACAATGATAATAATGCCAATTACAGGGCTGGGGTTGTGGCTCAGTGGCAGAGTACTTCCCTCCCACGTGTGAGGCACTGGGTTTGATCCTCAGTACCACATAAAAATGAATAAACAAAATAAAGATATTGCCCATGTATAACTAAAAGAATATGTTTTAAAAAATATGTTATTTAAAAAATAAGTTACAACTTACCAACCTAAGAGATGTTGATCTAACTCCCAAAAACACTCTCATAAATTGATTTAGTGAGATGATAAATAGAGTTAAGGGAAGAGAACTGACAATGTGGAAAATATATTTATGAATATATTTGATAAGACATCCAAATTCTACTGCCTCTTCAGCAATAGAGCATCTGAAGTACAAAATACTGTTTTATTTGTTGTCTTATTCATTACTCCAGACAAAAATAACACACAATTCCAAGGGTCACTGATCATATTACAGTCTAAAAATTTAAATGATGAGTCACAGATTATCTTTAAGGTCAACCAACAATGATAGAGTCACAAAGAACATGATATTACAATATAAAACACAGTCCAGAAAAGACAACTAGTTATAAGTTGTTCTTTTTCTTTTATTTTTTCCCCCCTTACAGTATTGGGGAATAAACCCAATGCCTTGGGCATGCCAGGAAAGCATTCTACCACTGAGCTACATCCCTTGTCCAAGTTGTTGTTTTTTAACCACACCAACAAAGGATCATACTATAAAAATGAATTTACTAAACTATCGAGGTATAACATGTAGCTGTTGTTGAATCTCCTTCCTAAATTGGGACTGCATTGATGCTACCTGCTGCTGGGTGAGGGCTTTATCACAGGTCTGGTAGGTCAATCTATAGCAGAGACTGACCTGCTCAGTCTTTGGATGATGAAAACGACCAAGGAATTGTATGGATATAATAGTGTCCTGGGACACTGCTCGAGCCACAGTGTGAAACTCTAGTTCATCAAATCCTTTCTCCTCATTTAACCAAAAACTAATATCATGTACATAACATGGAGGATACAGGGAATAACTCTTAAAGGGTTCTATTTCTCCAGGAACAAACTTTTTCATGAAACGGTTATCAAAGGTCCACAACATTCTCCAATCAGCGATACCCCAAGTAAGCATGGCTAATAAGTCCAAGTTTATAGACACAAACACAAAATACTGGTCTTTATGTGTTATGTTTGCAGCAGATGAGGTGACAGATCCAATGATCAGATCCTTGGCACAATCTGGACCAAAATTATGAGACTTCACGTGAATCATATAATTGTTTGCATTCAGTTGAGGGACAAATTCCACTGAACTGCTCAGCATTGATCCCTCTGGCAATGTCTGGGTCAGGAAGCTATCTAGAATTCCTGTCAGGTGATTCAGCAGTGACGGAAGACAGCCATCCTTCAGACTTTGATTAAACCCAAGGATTAATAAAGTCTCATGAAACGCCGGCATCGTGAAAGGCAAAATGTGACATTTCCGAAAAACAGGTCCACTGAGGATATACAAAGAACCTGGGAGGAAGTCTGGTGCTTGGATAATGGCCTGAACATGAACTAGAAGAGAAGATCTAAGCCAGACTTTGGCTTGTCCAGAGATTCCTTCATGAACTTCTTTGCCATCTCTTCTAGGACTCTTGTAAATGCTAAATTGTGAAAATGACACAAGAAAGTCCTCCATTTCTTTTGTTATTTCACCATTTAGGAACTCAGAATCTGAGTTATCTTCATGGAGATTGATCCAAAAGGAAAACATACTGTCACAATTCCAGGAAGGGAGAACACTGGTACCTTCCAGTGGCAGCAAAGGGAAGGAACACTTCAGCCTTTTAAGAGGGAAAATTTTGCCCAATTCAACAATGAGTTTCTCATTTATGATTTTGATAGGATGACAAGAAGATGCTTCCAGGAAACCCCTATTTAAAGACACACACACAAAAATAGCTTTTCTCACTTAAAATAATAATTATAATATAGCTAGAATTGAAAGCACAAATGGTTATGCAGAAAAGAATTATCTTTGCCATGCACAGTGATGCACACCTGTAATCCCATCGATTTGGGAGGCTGAGGCAGGAGGATCACAAGTTCAAAGTCAGCCTCAGCAACTTAGCAAGGCCCTAAGCAATTCAGTGAAAATTTGTCTCTAAATAAAACATAAAAAAGGGGGACTGGGGTTATGACACAGCGGTAGAGCGCTTGCCTAGCACGTGCGAGGCCCTGGGTTCGATCCTCAGCACTACATATAAATAAATAAATAATAAAGGTAATATGTCAAACTACAACTAAAAAATAAATACTAAAAAAAAAAAAAAAAGGGCTGGGGATGCTGGGGACGTGGCTCAGTAGTTAAGTGCCCCAGTACCAAAAAAAGAAAAGAATTATCCTTAAGTTTACCCTGAAAGGAAACAAAGAAATGGTCTACCATAAAGAGAACTATCACAGAGGATTTTTGGTCTTTTTTGTTTGTTTGTTTCCAGTTCTGGCTATCAAACCCAGAGTCTCACAAATGATAGGTAAGAGCTTTGACCACTGAACTACACTGCTAGCACAGGAGAGATAACATGTATTCCAGAATTCTGGCAGCCACCACCCCTACAATATGCCCTAGTGACAAGCATTCACAGCACAACCTCATTAACAGTTTATATACCATCTATTCAAAATATGATTGCCACCAAGATAATTAGGATACAATTAGAAATGGAAGTGATTTCCAGCAAAATAATAAGTTACCTGTTCAACTTTCCTGCAAGTGCTTTTGGTTCTGAAAAGGAAAACCACTGGTCTCCCAGTTTTATACTGAAGACTCTGGGCTGAGAACCTTCAAAAGGTAGGCTCCGGGTAAAGATATGATTCAAAGCACCTTCTATGTGAAAGGACTTATCTTGACTCCTGGCAGAAAAGACATTAATATGAAATCTATCATTATTAAAGAAAGCAAGTATTTCTAATATTTCTAGAGACTGGATTGGGAAATTGGCAGGGGAAATCTCTATAGTATTTCTTGTCATTAGTGAGAGAGATGAACAAGGAAAAGGCCTAGGTACTCACCTATATCCAGTGCATTTGTATCCTGGCACAGCCTCACACCTGAAGGGAAGCACATCACTTAAAATGAGGCCCCCAAGAGCAGCCATGGCAACCACTTGCCAACTGTTGTGCCATTCTCTCTGGGGCTTATCAGCAGAAGTTCCACCTTGTCCTCTACACAATGCCACATGCACTTCTCCTTCCTCTGCAAGAACATCTACACAGCTTGTACAGGGGAAAAAAAAAAAACAGAAATTTATCAGAAACAAGTAGAAATTACCATAAGGGCAGTAATATACACATAGCTTAGCCTTGAAATAATTAAAACCCAATCATACTTGCAAGGTCTGCTAAACCGCAAACATACAAGAACAATGTAGTCAAATGCCTTTTAACAACATTCATCATCTGCTATGCATTTGTGTTGTTCATTAATATGTCACAGAAAGTTCAATATTTGCAAAGTTCCTATACATGATTCACTGCTTGGGCTGTTTCTTCCCATTTAGAAATTTTTTTCACTGCCTTCTGCCTATCAAAATTCTATAATACTTTGCTGGGCACAGGGACACAACCTGTAATCCCAGTAATTTAGGCGGCTGAGGCAGGAGGATTCCAAGTTCAAGGCCAGCCTCAGCAACTTAGGAGGCCCTAAGCAATTTGGCAAGACCCTGACTCAAAATTTAAAATAAAAAGTACTGAGCATGTAGCTCAATAGTAAAGTGTCCCTGGGTTCAATCGCCAGTACCCAAAGGAAAAAAAACAAAACTATAAATTCTAGTATGATTTTAAACTCAATAATTTTATAAGGCAGTTACCTTTAGTATCCTCAGTTTATAGAAGAGAAAATATAAGTACCTAATGGAATAAGTATTTGCCTATAATCGTCAACTGTTAAGTGGTGGGCCAGATTTGAATCCAGGCAGTTTAGCTCCTAAACCCACGCTCAGCATCCAACTATACTGGCTGTCAATATTTTGCATTAAAAATAATCCCTTGGGCTGAAGTTGTAGGTCAGTGGTAGAGCACAAGCCTCACATGCGTGAGGCACTGAGTTCGATCCTCAGCACCACATAAAAATAAATAAAGATATTGTGTCCATCTACAACTAAAAAAAATATTTAAAAAATAAATATAAGGAGCTGGGGCTGTAGCTTAGTGGTAGAGTGCTTGCCTTGCATGTATGAGGCATTGGGTTCGATCCTCAGCTCCACATATAAATACATAAATAAATAATTATTTTTTAAAAAAATAGATAAATATAAAATAATATTATCCCCTTTATTACCAAAAGCATGCTATTTCTACTTTTATTTAGCATTCAGGGTTGTATGTATGCCTTTCCAAGTAAGCTTTGGAGTCCTTCGGAGCTTTATATTCTAAACTTATAGTATTTGAGTGCACTATGTTTTGTACATTGTAAACATTTTACTTGTGATGGCTCTCCTCACCTCTGGAAAAACTTGGCAAGTAGCTTCCTGTTCTTAGCTACTCCAGCTTTGCGTCCACAGTGCGGAAAGTTAAAATAAATTCGATCAAACTCTCTGTCTTGTGGTTCAAAAGCATTTGCCAATTGGGTGCAGTCTACACAGAAACATATCTCGGTACCTGGCAAAGGAAGTTTAGAGGCGCAGAATACAGATAGGAAAATGTCTTAAGATCAGGCAACAGGGAAAAAAAAAGAAAAAGAAAACAACTCCCAAACCCTCCAGGCTGCCATGCAAACCAGTCTTGGCCTAGCAACACACAAGGATTCCTGCGAAATGGTTAGGAAGCTCCAGAGCAATCCCCACATCCCCATCCCTTCCACTAAGAGGCGCAGGCGGATGGGCAGGGCTTCGCGGGGGCGGGGCTTCGCGGGAGGGCGGGTCTTGCTACCTCGTTCGCGCAAGCGCTGCAGATTCTCCTGGGCCACCGGATCCCGGGCCAACTCCGCCGGGTGCTGAAGGCAAGTGGCAGTGAGACAAACGCTAGAATCCAGGGTCTCGCTTAGAGCGGCGGCGAAGGAGAAATTCCCCTCCCCAACCAACAGGAGGCGCCGAGGGCCCATGGCCTTCACTGCTTCACCTCACGCATTTTCTGTGGCGCTCGTTTGACGTCACTTCCTTCACAGATTTCTGCCCGCTCCTTCCCCACCGGTCACTGTTTGATGACGCACCCACAGCGCCTGGTTGTCTTTGACAAACTAGTGCAGCGACTCCCTAGGAGGACTATGACCATGAAGGCAAAAGCGAGATATCCATCCATCTGTTCTCTCACCTCACCTCTCGGGAACATCAAAATGCCTTTTAGTTCTTGGATTGCCTTGAGCGACTTCGTCACACCTGCATGAGGTCACAAGCGCAGAGGGTTGAGTAATGAGTGCAAAAAGCGGGGTGGGGCTGAAGCCAAGAAGAGGTTGGGCTGTGTCCTGCAGGTTCCTGACTCAGATATTGTAACTGCCTTCATCTTGTCCAAATGGCTGCCTCCCATTTTCTCTGCTGCTCAGAATTTAACCAGGTGCTTCTAACTCCTACTTTCTATTCATTTAAGAAATATTGAGTGCCTATTATATGCCAGGCTACTGTGAGGGCGGTTCTATATGTGGGTGGACAAGATGTGGCCTAGTGGAGAATACACACAGCAGAAGAGGCAGCTCAGATCGCGGGGTATGTGCTTTGAGTGTAGTAATTTAGGGTTCCATGGAAGCACAAAAGAGAACCTTACTAAGTTTGGAGGCAATTTTCCTGAAGTGAATCTGAGTTGAAAGCTAATAGGAGGCGTCGGGGGAGACTTGCCTGCATCCAAAGCAGTGATGAGGCAGAAGCAACAATGTATGCAAAAGCAAAATGATTGAGTTTGTCTGAAACAGTTGAGGTGAGTGGGTAACATGAGACTGAAGAATTAAGCAGGGGCTAGGTCATATAGAGTGGTTGTTGTAAGCCATTTTAACAGCCTGAACCTTATTCTGAAAACAGAAAGCCACTGAAAGATTTTAAATAGGAAGATAGACACAATAAGACTTTTGTTTTCAAAAATTTTGCTTTCTAGGGGCTGTGGCTGTGGCTCAGTGGTAGAGCGCTTGCCTAGCAAGTACAAAGCCTCGGGTTCGATCCTCAGCACCACATAAGAATAAATAACATAAAAGTATTGTGTCAAACTAAAAAAATAAAAAATAAAAATTCTTTCTAGACTGGAGTTGTGGCTCAGTGGTAGAGCACTTGCCTAGCATGTGTGAGGGCACTGGGTTCGATCCTCAGCACCACATAAAAATCAATAAGTAAATATGAAGGTATTCCCATCTACAACTAAAAATATTTTTTAAAAAAAATCCACTTTCCTGTGGAGAAAGGATTGGAGAGAAACAAAGTTGATAGCAAGGAAATCAAATAAAAGGCTACCACAGCAATGGAAACAAAGACTGACAGTGACCTGAGTTGAAACTTGGCAGTGAAAATAGAGAGTAGTGGACTGACTCAAAAATCGGCAAGACTTAAGTGATTTGATGAATTCTGAAAGAGAAGTCTCAGGCTTCTGACTTGGACAGCAGTGGATGGCAATGTCTCATTTCAGCCCTAAGGACAGCATCACCTAGTTCTCCAATCTAAGCATTAGGCCTATTGGACTATGTGGGACCTGCTGCTCTAGTCATCATACTGTTTGGTGACATCATTGTATGCATCTGTCTTCACAAAGGCACTTGGTGTGAAGGCAGTTATCTGAGATGCCACCCTTTAATGCTGCCATACTTGCTTTTTCTCTGCCTGCCAAAAGGCAGCTGGGTCGTGGCTCCAAAATCATGACCGTGTGGTCATAGTGATCTATATTATTTTTTTTTCCTTGGAAAATTGGGAATACCAGGTTTGCTGACATATTCCCAACAGACATGGAACAACCACATAAGGATTACTGTAACTCTTTTAAATTTTTAAAGAAGTTAGTCTCTTCGAGCTCTTCTTCAGAGAAGGTATTGCATTGTTCCTAAGCCAGGGGACTAATTTTTTTGGCAAGAAAAAAAAAAAGGTTGCACTTCTCCTTCCTTACCAAAAAAATGAAATTCGGATATTGATCTTCTAGTATATGCTAAGTGCTATTGATTGGGAGGGCAGGCAGAGGAACAGGGTACAATAATGAATAAAACAGACCCTATGCTCAAGGACCATATAGTTCAGTAGGGGAGATAACACATATACTTGAAGAACTATAATGTGATAGGAAGATATAATACAGTGAAAGAGGCAAAGATAAAGTTGTATATGAGATAAAAGGAAAGAGAAGTTAACTTCAGGGAAAGCATTCTTTGAGTGGGCCTAGAAGGAAAGAATTTATCATCACCTGATAATTGTGTTATCTGGTTATTCAATTCTTATTTCTTCTCATTCTCTGTCTGCATCAATACCCTCAGTCTCTCAACTTCTTTTTTTTAAATTTCTTTAAGTTGTTGATGGAATTTTATTTTTTTAAATTTATTTTTATGTGAGGCTGAGGGTCGAACCCAGTGCCTTACTCATGCTAGGCAAGCGCTGTACCACTGAACCACAACCCCAGCCCCAGTCCCTCAACTTCTACATCTCAAAATTACCAAGATATTCAGTGAATTCTCCATATAGTATTGGGAATACTGAAGGTTTTCCTGTCTTTTCAAGGTGAGGGTGGCATTTATATAGTCATCCATTGCTGATTTGAGAGGATAGGTTCAGGGATTGATGGACCTGGAGAGGAAGAAACATCAATTTAATTTGAAGGAAAACCTCGAGTATTAGAAAGGTGGACTTATGTTATATCCTGCTATATAAAGCAGAGGAGGATAGAAAGGGATGACTTTTCTGTCCTCTGGTTTATGCAATAAGCTTTTCTGTTCTTGTTTTTTTCCAGGGAAAGAACCTTGTCTGTGTCCTCATCAATCCACACTGTGGCGGCCTCATTAATGCAGATGGCCATGGCGAAGTGTGGACAGATTGGAATGATATATCAAAATTTTTCCAATATGGATGGAGATGTTCCACTAATGAAAATTCCTATTCAAACCGTACCCTGGTAGGCAACTGGAACCAAGAAAGATATGACATAAGAAATATTGTACAGCCCAAACCTTTGCCTTCCCAGGTAATCTTTCTCTCTTATTTCCTTCTGTTTGCAGAAGAAAATGCCAATGGCCATTTGAGAGGCAGGAATCTGATAACTTCTCAGGTTTCCATTCAGTAAAAAAAATGATTGGGGGAGGGGAGCAGTCTTAAGCTGGACCACCTATCCAACTTTACTATCAAGAGGAATATTATGTGTAAGGTATCAACCAGATGGGTAGTACACTTTTTCTGTTGTTTCTGTTTGGAATTCATCTGTTAATCCATCTGGACTTGACTTTTATTTGAATCTTGCCTTTAAATATCTCCTAAACATACAAAGGATATGAAAGCTAGTAGGATGGGGATAACAACATGTAGGCCTCTAGGCTATCTCAAATATGACAGAGCCCATTAGAATTCATATTATATTATCCTTTATTTTCCAATATTAGCTATAGACTCCTAGATTCTTAATCTATGAATTTTTCTTTTCCAGTTTGGACACTACTTTGAAACAACATATGATACAAGCTACAACAGCAAAATACCACTTTCAACCCATAGTAGGTGGACTAGTTTTTTAATTCTTACATTCTCAGAACTGTACTGTGTCTGGCACATAGAAGGAACTGAAATAAACAGTAAACTAAATGGGTGAATAATTGAACACTTTCTCTCTTTTCTCAACTTTTGACAGGTCTTGATGTCTATTCACTCAAATAAGAGTGAAAAATCGGTTAAAACTCCTTGTTGACTGTTTCCATTTGTCTTTCCTTCCCTCAGGATTTAAGCGAGAGCCTCATTGGTTCCCAGGACATCAACCTGAACTGAGTCCTTCTCAATACAAATGCACAGAAAAGTCAATTTACATGACTGACTATTCTAAACCTCAAATCAAGCATCACTCTCCGTGTGTATGGAATCCTAATATTGACCAATTTCAGGGTCCAAGATGATAAGAAAGAATAAGAACTTTCAATTTTCTAGAATAAAATGTAAGAGGGAGCACATTCTAAAACTCAGCTCACCCTAACACAGTTTTACTCTTTGATTAAATAAAGCACAAGACACAGAAAATATCCTCTTTTTTTCTTTTAATCATTTAAATGTCATTTAAGTTAATTTTATCTATTTTTTGTTCTGTATCAGAAGTGTTGTGGAAGGCATTAAAAATAGCTATTTTCTCGGGCTAGGGCTGGGGCTCAGCAGTAGTGTACTTTCCTGGTGTGAGTGAGGAACTGGGTTTGATTCTCAATATTGCATGTAAATAAATAAAGGTTTATCAACAACTAAAAAAATTTTTTTTAAATAGATATGTCTCTGAAATCTTTACCACTTTGCATTTGATCAGTGACAGAACTGCAAAATCTAGTAAAACAGGTTTTTGCTGGATATTTTCTCAATATAAGTCTGGTAGTAATAGTCATGGAGCATAATTGTCTTGTGACCTTAATGAACAGCCCCTGTTGAGGACTGTGAAAAGAAAAATAACTTTTTAAAATTATTACAAAGAATTTAAAATATAAACAAAAGTAGACTGAATAGCCTAATGACCTCCCATGTAACATTATGCAGTATCAACAATTTAATGAGTAGTCTCTCTACCTACTTTCTTCTTCATTGAATTTATTTTGGAGCACATCTGAGAAATATACTTTCATCTATAATGATTTCAGTATATATCTCAAAAAACCCTGTAAATTGTCAATTGATCAAATAAAGCTGAGCTTATTAAACCTACTGGAGCAAGGAAGAACATCAACTTGATGCAGAGTCTTGATAACAGTTAAAAAGGGAGGTGTTTGAGTAGGACACTGGTTTAAGATGGATCTTTCAAAGCAGAAAACTGATAGAGGGACTAAGAAAAGGTTGTAAATCTTTAGAGTTGGTAAACTTAGGGAGTCAATAATCTTTAATATGGTTAAATTTATCATTATTTCCTCTTTATCTTCTGGTTAAGAAGATAATATACTGGGGCTGAGATTGTGGCTCAGCGTAAAGCACTCACCTAGCATGTGTGAGACCCTGGGTTCGATCCTCAGCACTACATAAAAATAAAATAAAGATATTGTGTCCAATTACAACTAAAATATTTTTAAATTTTTTTTTAAAAAAGATAATATACTGGGGGCTGGGGCTGTAGCTCAGTGGCAGAGCACTTGCCTAGCATGTGTGAGGCACTGGGTTCAAAGCCCAGCAGCACCATATACAAATAAATAAAAAGTATTTTTTAAAAAAGAAGATGATAATATACTGTTCATGGGATCCCATATGCTGTATTATCTTCTTAAATAGGAAATAGGAAATCTCTCTCATATTATCTCCCAAACCTTCATTGTTTATGTTCCATATATATATATATATATATATATATATATATATATATATATATATATAGTTTATGTTTTTTATGATGTTAGGTAGTGACTAAGTTTCTTTTTTTTTTCCCCATATGGCTATCCTGTTGTCCTACCATTAGTTATTGAAAAGACCATAATTTCACGGCTGTTCTTCAAAACCATTTTATTGTAAATCAACAGTCTATGTATATGTAGATTTGTTTCTATTAGGCTGTTGTTTCTTTGTATTAGGCTAATTATTATTCCTTGTGTTATCTTTAGTACATTGCCTTACTTATTCCACTATCTTAATTATAATAATTGTATAAGAATTAAGCCTTATAGATCAAATACTTTTTAAATTTTTTAAAATTCTTTTTAGTTGTACATGACAGTATAATGCATTTTGACATATCATACATACATGGGGTATAATTACCATTCTTGTGGTTGTACATGATATGGAGTTACGCTGGTCATGTATTCATGTATTAACATAGGAGAGGTATGTCCAATTCATTCTACTCTCTTTCCTATTCCCATCTCCCCTCCCTCCTCTTTATTTTCCTTTGTATAATCCATTGAACTTCTATTTTTTCCTCCTCCTCCTCTTAGTGTGTGTCAGCATCCACATCTCAGAACATTCAGCCTTTGGTTTTTGGGGATTGGCTTATTTCACTTAGAATGATACTCTCCAGTTCCATCCATTCACTGCCATAATTTCATTCTTTTTTATGGGCTGAATAATATATATATTATATATATATATATCACTTTTTTATCTAGTCATCTATTTTTTTTTTGGGGGGGGGGTGTTGTGGATGGACTCAATAACTTTATTTTATTTATGTGGTGCTGAGGACCAAACCCAGTACCTCACACGTATCAGGCAAGTGCTCTATCACTGAAGCCCAATCTCAGCCCTTTTGCCCTTTATTTTTTTAAATATTTTTATTAGTTATTGATGGATTTTATTGATTTATTTGTTTTATATGTGGTGCTGAGAATTGAACCTAGTGTCTCACACATGCTAGGCAAGTGCTTTACCACTGATCTACAACTCCAGCCCCCGTTTTGACCTTTCTTCAGAGAATCTCTTAGCTATTTTTGACCCTTGGTATTTTCATATAAAATTCAGGATAAAAAAAATTCAGGATCATTTTATTCTACAAAAAATTTACTATTAGTATATTGATTAAAAGTACATTGGAGGGGCTAGGGCTGTAGCTCAGTGGCAGAGCGCTTTCCTAGCATATATGAGGCACTGGGTTCAATTCTCAGCACTGCATAAAATAAATGAATAAAATAGAGGTCCATCAACATTAAAAAAAAAAAAAAAGTACATTGCTGGGGCTGTAGCTCAGTGGCAGAGCGCTTGCCTAGAGTGTGTGAGACCCTGGGTTCAATCCTTAGCACCACACAAAAATAAGCAAATAAAAGCATTCTGTCCATCTACAACTACAAAAATAATTTTTTAAAAATGTACATTGCATTGTTAGGTCAATATATTTGAGTTCTTGTCTCACTAGTGTTAATAAGTCATGTGTGTGTTCTTGCAACATGAATATTGTTTTACAGGCACATTTTGTCATATAAAATTATGTTTATATGTTATATATCTTATTCTATTCTCTATGAATCCAGAACATTTTTAATTGAGATAAAATATAACATAAAATTTACCATTTTAACTATTTTATAAATAATTAAGTGGCTTATAGTCACAATATCAAGAAACCATCACCAATTCATTTTCAAAACTTATTCATATTCCCATACTGAAACTCTGTATTTATTAAACGATAATTTTTCATCTTTCTTCCCCCACACTTCAAGCCCTTTATAACCTCTATTCTACTTTCTATGAATTTAGCTATTCTGAGTATCTCATTTAATGGAATCACATAATATTTGCCCTTTAGTGTCTGGCTTATTTAGCATAACATTTTCAAGTTTTACCTATGTTATCTAAAAATCTTAAGACTTAAAAATAATCCATTGCATGTATATACTTATAGTTTGCTGTTCCATTACCTGTTGATGAACACTTTGGTTTTTAGATTTGGATTCGTGAATAATGCCATTGTGAACATTTGTATACAAGTATCTGAGTCCATTTTTTTTTTCATTCCTTTTGGGCCTATACTAAGAAGTAGAATTGTTGGATCATGATCATGTGATAATCCTATGTGTAATAGTTTGGAAATGCCAAAGTTTCCCATAGCTTCTCTACTATTTTACATTCCCATCAGCAATGCACAAGGGTTCCAGGTTCTCCACATCATGACCAACACTTCTTACTATTTTTTGTTTTTGTTTTTGTCTTATAATAGTTATTTTAGTAAGTATAAAGTTGTGTCCAGTTTAATTTGCATTTCCCTAATCAGCATCTTTTCATGTGCTTATTAACTACTTATATATCTTATTTAGAGAAATGTTTATTCAAGTCTTTTGCCCATTTGTAAATCAGATTGTTTATTTGTTGTTGCATTGTGGGAGTTATATATGTGTGCACTGTGTATATATTCTAGATATTAATCTCCAATCAGATATATGATTTACAAATATTTTCTCCCATACTGTGGATTGTCATTTTACTTTCTAGATAGTGTCCTTTGATGCACAGTAGTTTTAAATTTTTATGAAGTTCAGTTACCTATTTTTTTCTTTTGCTGTCTATGCTTTCAGTAATTTTATCCAAGAAATCATTGCCAAATCTAGTGTCATGAAGCTTTCCCCCTGTGTTTTTTCTTAGCTCTTATGACAAGATTTTTGGTCTTTTTGGTGTTAAGTTTTATATATGGCAAAAGGGAAGGATTCAGTTTCATTATTTTGCATGTTGATATCCAGTTTCCTCAGCACCATTTGCTGAAAAGACTGTGCTTTTCCTATTGAATTTTTTTGGCACTCTTGTTGAAAATCATTTGACCGTATATGCTAAGGTTTGTTTTGGACTCCCTGTTGTATTTCATTGGCCTATAGATCTGTCTTTATGCCAATACCACACCATTTTCATTACTATAGTTTTGTAATAAGTCTCGAAATAAGGAAGTCTTAGTCTTTCTTAAAATGTTCTTTTTCAAGATTGTTTCAGCTCTTCAGGGACCCTTGAGATAGCATTTTTCTACTTCTCAAAAAAAATCATTGGAATTTTCATAATTCTTCATTGAACCTCTAAGTCACCATGGCAAGTACTGATACTTTAACAGAAGTAAGTCTTACAGTTCATCAATTCATAACAGATGTGTTTCCATTTACTTATGTCTTTTGTATTTCTTCCAGCAATGTTTTATAGTTTTCAATGTTCAAGTATTTTGTTTTATGTGTTAAGTTTACTTAAGGTATTTAGTTGATTCTTTATGGTGGTATTATTAATTCTCTCTCCCCTTCCTTTTTTTTTTTTTTTTTTTTTGTTGTTGTTGTTATGCTGGAGATCGAACCCAGGGCTCACACATGCTGGGCAAGTGCTCTGCCACTGAGCAACATCCCTAGCCTCCAATATTACTGTCTTAATAAGGGATAGTGGTCTGTAGTTTTCTTCTAACATCTTTGGCTTTAGTATCAGGGTAATTCTGTCTTCATATAGTATGAGTTAGGAAGTGTTCTCTGCAGTTTGGAAAAGTCTGATAAAAGTTGATGTTAGTAAATGTTTGGTAGAATTCATATGTAAAGCCATCTGTCCAGGGCTTTTCTTTGTTGCGCTATTTTGATTACTGGTTCAATCTCTTTACTCTAGTTAT